AAATAGGGTCTAACCTCCACTCGACACAAACTAGGTTATTTCGGGGTCTTTAGCAGTGGGAGGAAACCGGAGGACCCGGAGAAAACTCACGAGGTTGAACAGGCGATCCTACTCCCTGTCACGTACAACCGGGGAATCGAAACCACGCCAGTTGACTCAATGACAGACCTTATGATACAGCGCGCACGTGCTAACCATTCGGTCCCCCCCCCCCCTAACATGTCTGGGTGTTTGCCTATGCTATAAATAGTCTTCACAATTGTCAATTCGCTCGGGTAACTAAAGAATGAAAGTACCTAAGGAAACCCAGTGATTAGATTATTTTCATACATTTGGCATTTATATTTAAACTCACTGCCCAAAAATAATATATATTCAACAAGAACTACTTCAAAGTAGAAAAAGTAAATATTTTCTTTAAGACCATACAGAATATTCAGTTTGGTAAAATAATTATCATACACTGGTAGAATTCACTATGTTGCGTTATATTCAACTAACTGGGCTAATAAAGGCGTGCAAACACCATACCGTGTAATATGAGGGGAAATTTCCCGGACAGCGGCGCTACGTAAGGGTGCAAACCAGTGTGCACACGTGGCCTCGTTTTTTTCGTACAATCTGAACTTTCTCGGCCAAAACCCGGATCAAACATGGGACCTACAGGTTAGCACCCCAATGTCTTACTTATTGAGTAAGGTCCAGATCATTTTTTTCGTACATTCTGAACTTTCTCGGCCAAAACCCGGATCAAACATGGGACCTACAGGTTAGCACCCCAATGTCTTACTTATTGAGTAAGGTCCAGATCATTCATGATCTGTTGACGAGCAAGTTAGCACCTAGAATGAAGGCGACACGTTCTGATACAAAATGAAATGAAATGGGGTTTAACTTCAGACTGTTCAACACCGAATGCGCTAATGGGGGAAATTTTGCCCGGACAGCGACACTACGGCCTACTCTTATATCGATTTCCATCTATCAAGGGGTCTTCTACGTGCACGCTGATGTGTACACGGGACCTGGGGTATTCGTCCTTGCCACACCCTCGTCCTGTACCACTGACAAACGGGAACCATACCGGAAAATCCCAATGAACATGGGAGCGCCAAGTTAGCGAATTAACGTCTTATTCACTGAGCCACAGGGGCTCCCACGTTGTGATACAAAGATTGCATCATGTAATACAAGATCTATCCAAAAACCATTTAATATTCCTAACCTGTTAGATTTGTAAAATACGTCTTATACTCCTCGCAGCTTTCCATCTGAAGCGCTTTGTCATTAAATAAAACCTACCATTGCGGCCAACAGCTTGTTCAAATTTTCTATATAGTTAGCTATATTTAAACAGATCTCAGGATGGGATGGGGTATGGGATGGGGTATGGGATGAAACACAAAACCGGCTCCGATTCAGAAATCAGAATTTATTTGTATTTCATACAATTCTTACAAGCATATAATGAAATGGGGTTTAACGTCCTACTGGGCTAATGATGACGGGCATACGCCATATATTGTGCTATGAGAGAACTTTTGCCTGGGCAGCGGCACTACGACCTAACCTGATATCGAATTCAAACTCCCAAGGGATCTTTTAGGGGCATGCCAATGTGTACACATGACCTCGGTTTTTCGTCCCATCCGAACGACTAGACAGTTGTCCTTGTCAGGCACTCCCGTGTTTGACAGTTGAGCATTATGATTATGGAGCAGTTAAGATCAGAATCTGAACTGGGGATGGGGCGCAAAAACTCAAGCGGGGCTCAAAAGCTCTAAACCCATGAAGCAAAGCGTTTCATTGTGTCCCTTTAACTTACTCTCTTCACAGCTCACATAATATAGGCTACTAAAGGCATAATTACAAGTTAATGATGTCCACAATATTCCGACAAACACCAGTTTCTTGTGGGAATTTCTAAATATCAATTCAACAGTTAATGAAATAATTTATGTGCAACACTGGAGCCAGCTTTTTGAGCCCACCGAAAACTGTTTGTATAATTACTATCGTTTCTTTCACTTTACAATTTATGAATAAAACCTTTACAACTGATAATTAAAATCTTTACAACTGATGAATAAAACCTCCAAACTAGTATGATATATAAAAATTCTACTCCATCAAGTGGGGTCGGATGATGGAATTTTAGTTCCTAAAACAAACATTGTACGTAGCCAACGATTATCAAATACAACTGATGCCATGTTATTTTTGATTCATTACTCTGATTTTATAGAGCTGCTTGATCTGAAAATACATGGCCGAGCGAAGCTAAGAGCAAATGTTATTTTCTATCTTTTAAATGTTTGCCCCCCTCCCCCAACCCCGCGCTACCTTAACTGCACTAGTAATAGTAAACAAAGGAAGAGGATTTATAAAGCAAGGAAGCAAGAATATTTTATGTATGACTGTAGTTTTAAATACGAATGCCGTGGACGCATTAGAGGATATAAGGGCGGCTATATTTAATTTAATTACTGTGTTTCTGTGGATAACTGTAGTTGGAATTCATAGCTATCTAAACTAGGCAAATAAAAAAAGACTGAACTCCCTACCACCCACCCTAAAAACCAAACACATAAATTAACAAACAAAACAACATAAAACTGGATTAAAATCGGTTGTAAATAATTTAAATTCTACGAAAGTATATGTAATTAATTTTAATGAAAGTATAATTTTCAATAATGCCCTAGACTAACATAATTATCCCGCAAAACGAAACAAAAAACAACAACAAAAACAAACACACAAATTAACAAACAAAACAACAGGTTATAATTTGTAACGGCTGAATCAGCAAGTATGTCTCAAGATTTCTCCAGACCCATAAACCAAAATAAATAAATAAAATAAAAACAAACACACAATTAACAAACAAAACACCATAAAACTCAATTAAAATCGGTTTTAAATAAGTTCAAAGTCCTACGATAATATATGTAATTAATTTTATCAAACACACTAACATAATTATCGTAGACCCCCCCCCCCCCCCCAAAAAAAAAAGAGGAAAAAAGAAAAACAAATTATAATAAAATCACACACACAAATTAACAAACAAAACAACATAAAACAGGATAAAAATCGGTTTTAAATAATTTCAAAGGGCTACGAAAGTATATACAATCAATTTTATCAAATATAATTTTCACCAACACCCCAGACTAACATAATTATTGTAAACCAAAACAAAAAAATTAACATCAAACACACAAACTAACAAAAAAATATAACATAAAACTGAATTAAAATCAGCTTTAAAGAATTTTAAAATCCTACGAAAATAATGTAATAAATTTTATCAAATATAATTTTCAAAAATGCCCTAGACTTACATAATTATCGTAAAACAAAAACAAACACACAAATTAACGAACAAAACAACATAATACCAGTTATAATTTGTCTCAGATTTCTCAAGCCCCGTTCGATCTCGGCGTTGTCGAGAAAGTTAATCATCTGGGTTTTCCGGTGTGGCTTCCACTTATCAATTATGCAGGAAAGAAGGTCTAGCAAGGAATAACGTATAGTCGTTTGGATGGGACGAAAAAACCGAGGTCCTGTGTTCACATTGGCGGGCACGTTAAACAACCCTTGGCAGTTGGAATTCGATATAAGAGTAAGCCGCAGAACCGCTGTCCGGGCAAACTTCCCTCATAACACACTGTATGGCGCATAAATGTCTTCATTAGCCCAGTCAGTTGTAGGACGTTGGGGATGCTTTTTGGTCGTGCAATTAAGCATTTAGACTGGAGTCGCAGTGGCTCTTTGCGTATGGCGATGGCTCACTAACCAGGAGGTCCGGGATTCGATCCCGGTGTTAGTAGAGAAAGTTACCCGGAATTTACAGAACGGGGAGATTTGCAACGACAGGATCTAGTCTTTCGGATGGTTGCAAAAAACTGGGGTTCCGTGTACAAATTGGTGTCCACGTAAAAGACCAAATGACTGCTGAAATTAGAGATAAAATCAGTATGCAATAGCACTAGCGCCGCTGTCCGGCAAATTTGCCTCATATGCCGGTCTTCAATAGCAGAGTCGGTGCAGAAAAGTAGAGCATTAAATACCATTACATATCATTTCCAAACATGTGGCCACACATTGAACACAAACCAATGTATCGTCTTAACTAATGTGTTTAAAATTAAACAAATTACAGTGTTGTAACAATTAATGCTATCTTTCTCTCTATATAATTATATTGTATCTAATTACTATTATTATCTATAATTACACAACATATCTACTCTTCTACATGCAATCTCCTTATACAGTAGCTGCCTTATCTGTCTTTACACTCACCTTGATTGGTTCATGATCTTATCTTGTCCAATCAGAAGATGTGTTTAATAATAACACAGTGGGGTATGTTCAGGAAGATGCGCTTATATACCGAGAAGAAATCGTGTATCTTCACAACTGACTTGTCCAGCGTAAGTACACGTATGTTCTGTTGGGTTACAAAACAGAAAATGAATCTAACGTTCGGTTTTACTGTATGTTTCCTTTACCAGGTCTGAATGAACGTTCCATTAATTTAATAACAAAATTACTTTTGATTGTTTAAAACTTTTCTACATTTTCCAATGAAATTAGATTTAGTTGTAAAAAATAATATATATTCTTTGTAGTATTCTTAAACCAGGAACTGGTCTCATAGACATTATAATCTGGTTCCATAGACTTGGTAATCTTGGTGTGACGTTCTTTAGAAAATGCCCTTAGACTTCGCCAATCAGCGTTCGATCCACATGTTTGTTCTGTGAACAAATGTTCGTCGATTGACGGACTTCAGTTTTGATATTGTACGGTCGCACCTGGTATAATTACAACTTGAATTTCAAGTAGGATTATCATTTAACCAACAAATATAATAGTTAATAATTCATAAGTAACACTGAATCTGTTTTTATTATTATTTCAGTGAGTTGGTTGTCAGTATAATATCTTAATCCTTTTGATTAATAATAACTAATCTAAACGTCATCATGTCTTCTTACGATCCCAATGATCCCGACTTCCAATATTTGGCTGTCGACCGTAAGAAGATGATGAAGGAACAGACTCAAGCTTTCGATGGTAAAAAAGCTTGTTGGGTTCCAGATGAAAAGGACATGTTTTTGCCTGCTGAGATCACCAGTTCAAAGGGCGATGACATCACAGTCAAAATAACTACCACCAATGAAGTATGTATTCATTTTATTTCAATCTCTAATCACTTTGATCTTGATTGAATGACCGCGTGTAAAACTAATCTTAATTTTTAAAATATGAGTAGATATGTATCGCTCAAATGAAACTCGAATAAAAAAATGAAATCTCACTGATCAATTATAACTTTATAATAAGATGCACTATGTAAGATAATAGTTCCAAAATAGATCATGCAAAAGGAATATATTGAAAATTTCATTCAAATTACTATATTCTGAGCGAAGTTTTGACAGGTGAAATGAAATGGGGGTTATCGTCCTACTGTTCTGCTCCAACTGGGCTAATGAAGACGGCATGCGCCATACAGTGTGCTATGAGGGAAATTTTGCCTGAGTAGAGGCACTGACCTATTCTTATATCGAATTCCAACTGCCAAGGGATCTTTTACGTGTACGCCAATGTATAAACCTCGGTTTTTCGTCCATCTGAACGATTAGACACCTGTCCTTGTCAGGCCCTCCGCCCTGCACCACTGACAAGGAGAAACCACGTCGGAAAATCCTGATGAACTTTCTCGGTCAATGCAGGTATCGAACACTTGACGTCCGGGCTAGAGAGCCACCGTCTTACCCACTTAGCCACCGTGGCTCCTTTGACAATATGTGGCAAAGACTGGTTATTATCGTAGCAACGCCACTTGTTAATCGAGAATAAGCATCGATTCACCATTTTTAAATTAAATCATTAAATGGCGACCGTATTTTAATCCGTTTAAATCTCCGCCATCCGATGAACTAGAGAGCTGTTTAGGCTTACCATGTGAATAAATGTCTAAATAATAGTTTAAATAACATTTGAAACCAAAATAAATGGGAAGATTTAGCTCTTACATAATGCACCTTAAAATATGGTTTCCTTTCAGTCAAGAACTGTGAAGAAAGACAGTATTCAACAGATGAATCCTCCTAAATATGAGAAGATCGAAGATATGGCCAATATGACCTACCTGAACGAGGCTTCAGTTTTACATAATCTTAAATCTCGTTATACGGCCGGTCTAATATATGTAAGTTCTATTTCTATTAATGTATATTATCAACCCCCCCCCCCCCCCTCCCGACAAGAAATCCCTTATACGTTTTTCACATTGAAATCAACAAAGTTTTTCTGGAATACATTTTATCAACAACCCCGAAAAACGCCATTTTGAACTATTCTATTTTGATATAGTAATATAGATATTTAATTGTATTATAGTGTTATGTTATGAATTTTATTTCTTCTTTGTTATTTCTTTTTAATATAGACTTACTCTGGTCTGTTCTGTGTAGCTGTGAATCCCTACCGACGTCTACCTATTTACACCATGAGTGTTATCTCTAAATATAGAGGTAAACGAAAGATGGAAATGCCTCCCCATTTATTTGCTATTGCTGATAACGCCTACCAATCTATGGTACAAGAACGTGAAAACCAATCTGTTTTAATTACGTAAGTAAAAATTAATATGCCCGTTATTTGCTACAGTGGATTCTTGCAAGGTGGAACACTTTCACCAGTTTGATCAGTTTTTAAATCAATCGTTTTGAAAACAAAATTGCACATAATGTCGTTAAGGACTTTTAGCCGTTAATGATTTTTAGCAAATCCGAATAGTGAAAAATATGCATTATAAATCATTTTACATTAGTTAGCCTAATTATTACGTATTATCATTTCGACACAAAACTGTTATAAATTTATATTCCAGTGGTGAATCTGGTGCTGGTAAAACTGAAAATACAAAGAAAGTTATTATGTACTTCGCTCAAGTTGCCGCAATGGGTCACAAATCAGCTGAAGAGGAAGAGGCTAATAACAGTAAAAAGGTAATATGTTTTCGACATTTTAAATAGATCAAATTTGCATCTAATTTAATTCTTTCAATAGTCAAACAGACAATTTGTATATGTTTTAAAAACTCCCGGTTGGATTATAACTCATGTAATTATAAATTATCAGATCTTTTCTGAATAAAAACGTATGGTTGAATTGACAATATCAACCAAAACAACTCTTGTCATATATTCTACATATCTGACTTTATTTTAATAGAAAACTCTATGTTAAATTTAGGGAACATTGGAAGACCAGATTGTACAATGTAATCCAGTACTTGAGGCCTACGGTAACGCCAAGACAACCCGTAACAACAACTCTTCTAGATTCGTAAGTATACACAAATGAAATATATTAAAATTAAGTATAGGTTTTGTATGTTTGCCCTACCTACGCAATCAATGCATTCGCTACTTGTACTGAAACATGTTATTTACTTTCATTTTAGGGTAAATTTATCCGTATCCATTTTGGTACTCAAGGTAAAATCTCTGGTGCTGATATTGAACAATGTAAGTAGAAGTATAGAATTATATTTAACATCACGCCCTGTAAATGTAAATTGACTATATTTTGTTTTAAAAGCTCAACTCAAACAATTATTTGATTATCTAGTCATTTAATTCATTTCAATGATTTTATTTACAGATTTGTTGGAGAAATCTCGAGTCACCTTCCAGCAACCTGCTGAAAGAAACTATCATATTTTCTACCAGCTTCTGTCTAATGCTATTCCAGAATATAATGGTGAGGATAATACCAGATAACCCAAAAATAACAAAAAACTTTACATCAAAGGAAACCCATGATTAATGTTTTATGATTTTAAACATCTTAAATCTTTTTATTAACAGAGAAACTATTGGTGAACCCTGACCCAGCTTTATACTCATTTATAAACCAGGGATGTCTGACTGTTGATAATATTGATGATGTTCAGGAAATGAAAGATACTGATGTAAGTAATTTACCTGATGAATAGAAAGTAATTTCAAATAAAAAATTAGAACAAATTTACAATCAGAAACTCAACAGTACGCTAAACATTCTCGCCCCTGTGCTTATAATTATGGGTTGCTTTTACTTATATTTATAGGTTACCTTTACTTATATTCATAGGTTGCTTTTATTTATATCTATAGGTTGTCTTTACTTATATTTATAGGTTGCTTTCGATGTTTTGGGTTTTTCCACTGAAGAGAAACATGGTGTCTTTAAATGTACTGGTGCTATTCTCCATTTTGGTGAAATGAAATTCAAACAACGAGGAGAACAGGCTGAGTCCGATGGCAATGCTGGTAAATTTTTTGGTTATTCTGTTTATTGCCGTTTTTAAAGTACTGAGCAAGTTTTTTTTTTATAAACTGAGCAAGGTTATCACGGATAAAGTTTTGAAGCAAGTAATATCTACCCTATCAGTACCAATCTACATTTTTGTGTACATTTGATCAAATTAAACGTTTCAGAGGCTGAGAAGGTAGCTTTCTTATTGGGTATCAACTCAGGAGATATGATGAAAGGTTTGATCAAACCCAAGATCAAGGTCGGCACAGAATTTGTCACCCAAGGTAGAACCAAGGTTCAAGTCGTTAATTCTGTTGGTGCCTTGGCTAAATCTCTCTACGATCGTATGTTCAAGTGGATGGTTGTTCGACTCAACAAAACTCTGGATACAAAAGCAAAAAGGCAGTTCTTTATTGGTGTACTAGATATTGCTGGTTTTGAGATCTTCGATGTAAGTAAAATCTGTATTTTCTTGTTTAAATTACTAAGGTATAAACCAAAAAATGATCTTAAAACAAACCATTTATATTCAGACAACAATAAAAGAATTCTGGAAATTAATTTCAGTTCAACAGCTTTGAACAGTTGTGTATCAACTACACCAATGAACGTCTACAACAGTTCTTCAACCATCACATGTTTGTACTGGAACAAGAAGAATACAAAAAGGAAGGCATTGATTGGGAATTCATTGATTTTGGAATGGATTTACAAGCTTGTGTTGATCTTATTGAAAAGGTGGGTGTCAAGATAAAATGAATGGTGTTTAACGTCTCAATTCTCTGCAACGATTGAGCTAATAAAGAAGGGCGTACACCATATTGGTGAAATTTTGCACAGGCAGTGGCACCACGGCCTACTCTTATATCGAATTCCAAACTACACTGGATAATCCAGAGGAACTTTCTCGCCCAACACCTGGATCTAACCCCGGAGCCGCTGGTTAGCGAACCAGTGCATTTCTCACTGCGTGATACTTGATAAAAAATTCCATCCAAGTCATGGATGCCTATTATAGACTTTCATCTATCGAATCCAATGTAAAGTCGTGTATATAAATAAATACCACGCCTATGTATATTATTTTCAGCCAATGGGTATCTTGTCCATCCTAGAGGAAGAATGCATGTTCCCAAAAGCCGATGATAAGTCTTTCATGGATAAATTATACAGCAATCATTTGGGCAAATCACCAAACTTTGGTAAACCAGTTGGTAAGAAAGTGAAAGGCGAAGCTCACTTTGAACTTCATCATTATGCTGGCACTGTACCATACAGTATTACTTCCTGGTTAGAAAAGAACAAGGATCCCTTGAACGAAACCATCGTAGAACTCTTGGTTCACTCCAAGGAAGCTCTTGTAGCTTCTCTGTTTGCTCCTGCGGGTAAGACATTTTAATGCTATTTAAATAATGTTTGTTTAATTACAGCAACTGTGACTAAATATTTATCAAATAATATAATACTATAATAAAATGCGTAATAAGAATAACATTTGTCATCTATAGATCCTGGAGCAGCAGCTGGAGGTGCTACCAAAAAGAAGAAGAGTTCTGCTTTCCAGACAATTTCTGCTACTCACAGAGTAATATTTTTACTTCAATTCTTCTTCCAATAGGCGAATATATAATCTTGTTAATCTGTTAATCTCACATAACTGTAATGATACTTTTCGATTTGCAATTTTATGTCTCTACCATAATTTTCCCTTTAAAGTTTAATTTAAAATATATTTCAGGAATCTTTGAACAAACTGATGAAGAGTTTGTATACAACACATCCCCATTTCGTGCGATGTCTTATTCCCAATGAATTCAAACAGCCAGGCGAGGTTGATCCCCATTTGGTACTTCACCAGCTCCAGTGTAATGGTGTACTGGAAGGTATCCGTATTTGCCGAAAGGGATTTCCAAACAGAATCATCCACTCCGAATTTAAACAAAGATACTCTATCTTGGCTCCCAATGCTATACCTGATGGATTCGTTGACGGCAAGACTGTTGCCACGAAGATTCTCCAGGCATTGGAATTGGACACTAATGAATATAAATTGGGTTCTACTAAAGTTTTCTTCAAGGCTGGTGTTTTGGGATATCTTGAAGATCTTCGTGATGAACGATTGAGTAGTATAATTTCCATGTTCCAAGCTCACATTCGAGGTTATCTTGTAAAGAAATCTTACAAGAAACTCTGTGATAGAAGGTAAATCTTTTAAAGCTACATAGCAAGATAGTAAGAAATATCATCTAAAATCTACAGTACCACTATACCGAATATATCTACAGTAGGACATTGCCAAATCTATGTTTTAAAATCCTTAGTTGACAGTACCAACTATCGTATATCATTTTATACACTAATAACGAATATCAATAATTAAAACGTATATTTGAATTTGTGAATGGAATTACATACCCTTAATTTCTCTTTAATATTCAAGATGTCGTTCGACTTTTATTAGAATTAATAATTATGGTTTGGTCTTTTAACAGAGTTGGTCTCTCGGTCATCCAAAGAAATATCCGAAAATGGCTGGGCATGCGCAATTGGCTCTGGTGGAAGATGTACACCAAAGTCAAGCCTCTTTTGAATGTTGCCAGAGCTGAAGACGAGATAAAGCAGAAAGAAGAAATGTTTGAAAAAACTAAAATAGAACTGGAGAAAACAGAGAAGGTTAAAAAGGAGCTTGAAGAACAGAATACAGTTTTATTACAACAGAAAAACGATATGTTCATTCAACTCCAAGCTGAACAAGATAACGTTTCTGACTGCCAGGAGAAAATAGAAAAGCTTATCCTTCAAAAGATTGACTTTGAAACTCAAATTAAAGAATTTGAAGATCGCATTCTGGACGAGGAAAATGCTGTTGGTGGTCTTCAAAATAAAACGAAAGAACTTGAAAAGGCCAATGATGATCTACAAAATGATATTGGCGATCTCGAAACCTCTTTGGCTAAATCTGAACAAGAAAAAATAACCAAAGATAACCAGATTAAAACTCTGAATGATGAAATTGCTCAACAAGATGAAATGATCGGTAAACTCAATAAAGATAAGAAAAATATGGATGAAGCTAACAAGAAATTGACTGAAAGTCTACAAGCTGAAGAAGATAAAGTCAACCATTTTAGTAAGCTGAAGACTAAACTTGAACAAACTCTTGATGAGGTAATTTTCTTTGTTTTACACTTGATAAATAATATGCTTTATATTCTATATATTAATACAGCCATTTATTAATGTTGTCCGATATATTCTTTCTATGTTTTAATTTCAGCAACGGACCACTATTCCCATGTGACTATCGTCGAATGTTTTCTATGTGTTGTTTCCAATTTCAGTTACAAATCAGGACAATTTCAAATATGACTATCATCGAACAACTTTTGGTATATTTTTGTTTCCGCTTTCAGTTGGAGAATAATCTAGAACGTGAAAAGAAGGTTCGAGGAGACGTAGATAAAGTAAAAAGAAAGTTAGAACAGGATTTGAAAATGAATCAAGAATGTGTTGAAGAATTAGAAAGAATCAAAAGAGAATTGGAAGAAGGCATGAGAAAGAAGGATGTTGAAATCAATTCTCTTCACTCAAGAGTTGAAGATGAGCAGACAACTGTCAGTCAACTTCAGAAGAAAATCAAAGAACTTCAGGTAATGGGAATAACCAAAAGTCAAATCATTAACATATTTTGTAGAGTGCCACATCAATTATTTATTCGAGTAAATACAATCATAGTACATATGTATAATATCGTCACAGTTTTAGAAAACTATAAACCAACATGATGTATTTTTATTCTAGCTCACGATTGAGGAACTTGAAGAAGAACTTGCTGCCGAAAAGCAAGCAAGGTCAAAGGTAAGATCCCATCAAAGCATTAAACTTTTCAGAATAAATCGTATTATTATATTCTAATTGAGGCGTAAGATACAACATAACTCATTTTCAAATCATCGGATGTTGTCAAAAATAGAATTCTATATCAATTCATTTGCATCCAATTTTTAAAAAACTAAAATTTTTAACTCGAACAAAACACAGTAGTCTATGGAATAGTTTATAATTTGGATTTCTGTCATTTTGATGGATAGGTTGAGAAACAGCGAAATGAATTGGCCCACGAGATTGAAGATATCAGCGACCGACTGGATGAAGCCGGTGGTGCCACTTCTGCTCAGATTGAAATCAACAAGAAACGTGAACAGGAATTATTGAAACTTAGAAGAGATCTTGAAGAGAGTCAGTTACAACATGATACCCAGATTGCTAGTCTCAGAAAGAAACAACAAGATGCTGTTAATGAATTATCTGACCAGGTCGAGCAACTACAGAAGGTTAAGAGCAAGTGAGTATCTTCTATATAACGAAATTATGTCATTTAATAATTCTAGTAATTTAATCCAGTTACTACGCAAAGTTTCTAATAATATGGGTTACTATTAAATACAATTTATATTTTAGAGTTGAAAAGGAAAGACAACATTTGAAGTCCGAGATCGATGATTTATCTGCCCAACTTCAACATTCAAGCAAGAATAAGGTCAGAATATTTTATTTTGAAATGTACATCTGTAGTTGCAACAAAATTATCTATTCATTATGACGACACAATTTATAAATTTAATTGAGTTCGTCAGATTTTTTAACGCATTAATTCTCACCATACAACAAAACTTTCAGGGCATGTCCGAAAAGATGACGAAACAGGTAGAATCACAGATATCTGAATTTAATGCCAAAATTGAAGAAGGAACCAGAACTATCACCGAACTCCAATTCAGCAAGACTAAATTCCAGCAAGAAATTACTGAAATCACTCGACAACTTGAGGAGACTGAACATCGATTTAGTCAAATCAGTAAGGAGAAGACCAGCATCCAGTCTCAGTTTGAAGAAAGTAAGCGATCGCTTGAAGATGAAATTAGAATTCGTCAGAAACTGCAGAGTGAAATCCGTAACCTTACATCAGATTACGAGTCTATCCGTGATCAGTTTGAAGAAGAACAGGATATTAAGAGTAACATCCAGAGATTGTTGTCTAAAGCCACTACAGAGGCCCAGCAATGGAGATCTAAATACGAAAGTGAGGGAATTGCTCGAAGTGAAGAACTGGAAGAATCCAGGTTTGAAATAGATTATTACCAAATATCCGTTCAATTCATGACCCAATCTTTTAGGAAATTTGGGATATTTCTTGTAGTTCTGTTTGACTATATTTCTGTGTTTTCTTCTTCCCCTGTTATTTAATCTTATTATACAATGTATAATATTTTATTTTTTACAGACGTAAGCTTCAATGTAAACTTGCTGATGCTGAACAAAATGTTGATGCTGCCAATATTAAGATCAATAACTTAGAGAAAACCAAATACAGAATGCAGACTGAGATGGAAGATCTTATGATTGAAGTCGAGAGAGTAAGTTAATGATAATAGAAATTTAATATTGTGCAGTTCCCTTTTTATATCATTCACAGATTTTCTTTGTTGTTTAAAAAAAAACAATATACGCAAAATCTTTAATATTATGCAATTTGATTATTTCCAGGCCAACACCAGTGCCAATATACTGGAGAAGAAACAACGTAGTTTCGATAAAACTACGTCTGAATGGCAGTCAAAATTCACTGATATACAATATGAGCTGGAGAACTCACAGAAAGAATGCCGCGGACTGTCTGCCGAGCTATTCCGAACAAAGGCCAAAGATGTTGAAACTTTGGATCGTGTCGAAGCCTTGAGACGGGAAAATAAAAACTTAGCTGGTGAGTTTTTCAGTTGTAATGTATAAATAAATTTCTAAAATCGAGGTTTGTGTATTGGCAAAGGCAGCATTGTGTCAAAATATTAAGATTTTTGTGTAATCGATTCCTTTCGATTAAGCATATCAAGATGATTTAAATAACTAAATGATAAAACACATTCGCCATATATGCATGCACAAAGTTCTATATCTGATCATATTCAAATTTATTCAACAAAGATGAAATCCGTGAATTGACTGATCAACTAAGTGAAGGAGGAAGAAATGTCCACGATGTCGAGAAAGCTAGAAGACGAATTGAAATGGAGAAGGAGGAACTTCAAGCTGCTTTGGAAGAAGCCGAAACTACCCTTGAACAAGAAGAAGCTAAAGTTATGAGAGCCCAACTGGAAATCTCTCAGGTCAGGCAAGAAATCGAGAGGCGTGTCAATGAGAAGGAAGAAGAGTTTGAAAATACCAGGTAAATTATATCATCAGCTTAGATGACAGAAAAGTCCATACACCACTCAATATATTTATTCAGTATTTATTCATTTGCGTGTATTGTTTTACAGACGAAACCACCAACGAGTTATTGAATCTATGCAAGCATCCCTAGAGGCTGAAACAAAGGGTAAAATTGAAGCCATGAAAATCAAGAAGCAATTGGAACATGATATCAATGGACTGGAAATCGCCCTGGATGGTGCCAACCGAAGCCGAGTAGACATTGAGAAGACTATTAAAAGATATCAATTGCAAATAACCGTAAGTACCATTCATCCCTGCAACTTGGCTGTTACATTAATAGCCAGTTGCTTATTTGGCGTTTGCAATCTTAGCTATATACTATATACTTTTTTGACGTTTGCAGGAAATCGAATCTCGATGCGAGGATGAAAAGCGACAGAGAGATGAAGCACGTGAGTCCTACAGTATGGCTGAACGACGATGTAATGTTATCAGTGGTGAAGTCGAGGAACTCAGAACAGCCCTGGAACAGGTACCCATTTAAAAATAGTTGCTTTGTTTCTTTATTGAAATTATATTGATTGGTAAGACTTACCTATAATTTAATACTTAATATTTTCTACTTGAATTCTTTAGGCTGAAAGAGCTAGAAAAACAGCTGACAGTGAAATCATGGATGCTAATATCCGCGTGAGTGAGATGACTGCTCAGATGAACTCTTTTAATGGTCAAAAGAGAAAGTTGGAATGTGATGTCGCCACCATGCAGTCTGATTTACATGATATGCATTCAGAGCTTCGTGCTTGTGATGATCGATGCAAAAAGGCCGTATGTGACGCTGCACGTTTAACAGAGGAATTACGAAGCGAACAGGAGCACAGTATGCAGATAGAAAAGATCCGAAAGAACTTAGAATGTACCACCAAAGATCTCCAGATACGAATTGACGAAGCTGAAGCTCAGGGCTTGAAGGGAGGGAAGAGACTTGTGCAGAAACTTGAACAAAAAGTAAGAGAACTCCAATCTGAGCTGGAAACTGAACAACAACGTCATGGCGAAACTGAAAAGAATATGAGAAAAGCTGATCGACGTCTCAAGGAGCTTCTCTTCCAATCAGATGAAGACAAGAGAATCCAGGAACATCAACAAGCATTGGTTGAAAAACTGCAGGATAAGACAAAAACTTACAAGAAGCAAATTGAAGAAGTGGTACGTATTTGGTTACTATCAATTATTATTATTATTATAACACATTTCAAAAGCGCACAACTGCTACATACATGTGCTCCATTGCGCTCCATGGCGCTTCACAAAGGAATAGAGTGAGACAATATTACATGTACATAAGATAACGAGATAACAATATTACATGTACATAAAATACCGAGATAACAAAGGAAATAGTTGATAACATATAAATAAAAACTGTTATTTAGATAGAATTATATGTAATTAGAAATTAAAATAGATCTGGTTAATCTATATAAAAAGTGTCACTTGGTAAAAGCCTTTTTAAAATAAGTATGTTTTTAGTTTAGTTTGAAAAGTAGTAATAACGGTGACATTGGGAATTTGAATTGGTAATTGATTCCATAACAATGGTGCTTGTACATATGAATTATAAGAGCGCTGTTTTAATAATGACGTGTCAGTAGAGATCACCGATTTCTTGTGGGTTTATAGTATTCAAATAGGGCGGGGCCACAGTGTTAAGGCATTTAAACACAAGTAACAATATTTTGTGTCCTATTCTGCATGCTACTATACAACGGCCTTATGTTTTTTTCCCTACTTTCATAATATCGAAATTAGAACACAAATGGTTGGTTTAAATTTGTCTGCGTTTGAATTTTCAGGAGGAAATTGCTGCTATTAACTTAGCTAAATTCCGTAAAATCCAAAGTGAATTGGAAGATGCTGAAGAGAGAGCTGATGCAGCCGAAAGTGTCTCCAATAAACTTCGCGCCAAAAGCAGGAGTTCGGTCTCACAGACTCGCTCAAGCTCAGTATCAAGAATCACATCTGTAAGATTTTCTTAAGGTAGGCAACTTCAGTATACAAATTAAATACATGTACTAGCATTTTGATCGATCTGTTGTCTAATTCCCACATTCTGCCAACAGATACGAATTGTTCTATTGAAGTTCAGTGAGTGGTGATATATGTACATGTAGGGGTGCTGTGATTCCGGGGGATCAGTTTGCTATATATTAGTCTTCTCAAGTATTTATTTTTTATTATAAGAGGTTATATTTAATCATTTTTATGGGTATCTGTGCCTGTCATACTACAATGGCTTTACAGTCAAACCGCCGAATTTTCGCAATGGACACATAACAGATTCATCCAGATTTAGACTTTAACAAGTAAAGTTTCATGTTTGACTTTAACGAGTAAAGACGTACCGGATTAATCAAGATGGATGTTTAATACTTTATCAACTTATTTTTTCAGGCGATTTGGCTACGACGATCTGTCCATTGGTTTAATCATATGGTGGTAAAATCGTGTGCTCGGTTGACTTTGATTATAAATATAAACGCAGTTTCCTTGATGTTTCGAAAGTTCGAAAGCCGATTAAGCAGCTTTCGTCCATTGATAAACATTAATGTATTTATATCTAATTAATTATATATAATCAATTCCAATTAACTTATTCCTATTTATTGTATACATGTCTTTGTTGAAATGATAATAAAAACTGTTTTACCTTAGTAAATATTATGTGTATGTCGAACATATACGCTGTATATAATTGCGGGGTCTGAGGCAAGTGTATTTATCACAGACAGCAATCAGTAAGAATGTTGTCGTTCTCGTTCTGAAATGGGGGGGGGGGGGCGTGCGCGTGTGATCATAAGGTCGAGTGGTGTGGTTTCGATTCCCCGCTTGTACGTGACAAGGAGTAGGATAGCTTGTCCAATCCCGTGGGTTTCATCCCACTGTTAAAGACCCCTACGCGTTAGCGAATTATTGGAATAAAATTGGACCATATGTTAGCCCCGAAATGTCGAGTGGACGTTAAACCCCATTTCTCTCTCGCTGTTCAGAAATGTTCAAAGTATATCAGCTTAGCATGCGTGCTTTACATGCAAAGCATGAATATATATATATATAATAGCCATCAAACATTTGAAAAAGTTTACGCCAAAGCAAATTCATGATGACCTGATATACAAACATTACTTGACACTGGTCCTTCGTATAGTACAGTCAAACAATTGTTCTGAATTTACAAGGGGTGGGATCAGCACTGAGGAATAACCACGGTCTGGTCACCCATGTGAAATGACCATCAATAAATGACATAATAATACAGGACGGGCGATTAACTGTTAGACATTTTAGATAATGCACAGGATATTAGCAAAACGTCATTGGAACGAACATAAGTACATAAACAAGATGTCTGTCCGTTGGGTGCTCAGAATGTTGACTAAAGAACAAAAAGGTCATACAGATTCATAGTCAACAGAGATCCACGTGCTTTCTTTGGTCATATTGTTACTGGGTTCATCACTTCGACCTATAAAGACAAAAAGTCAAAGTATGCAGTGGAATTATATGGTGGGACTCTGAGGGTGTAATCATGATAGATTATCTAAAGAAGGGTTCCACCATAAACGGTGGATATTACGCAAATGAATTGTTCAAGTTGCTTGATCAAATCAAAGAAAAGTCCCAAGGCAAACTTTGCCACTACAATGCTCCAGTTCACACCGCCCTAGTAGCAGTTAGCCCAGCACAGTACTCTGGCTTCAAAGATCTCACTCATCCAGCCTATTCCCCAAATCTAGCTTCCTCTTTGATTTCTTCCCCAAACTCAAATCAAAGTATAGTCTCACATTTTGGCATTTGATTAACATACTTAATCTCATTGTTATCACTGTGTCTTGTGAAACCGGGATAAAACTATTTCTAGGTTGGTACATTCTCTTTAAATGTCACTAGGATTATATTAAATAAATAAATACAGAAATAACAGCAACAGTGTATATTAAATTTGATATTATTATTAAATATTTTAAAATATTTTTATATGCAGCAATATTATATAATTTATGTTCATGCATATCAACAATATAATATAACAAATATACTTAAAGCACTTTTCAAATAAACAATGGCAGAATATAATATTTATAATATTAATAGTATAGAATGTTTACATGTCAAATATCAAGGGAGTAGTTTTACATCCTTAAAGAATTGGATAAATGTACAATTCTGCCCTAAAGAAAAGATCTGGATGCTGGAAGAAGAGCAATTTACATAGAATTGGATTTGGATGCAATAACTTAAGTCCCTCATACTTTAAGAAAAGTTACTGATTCCCTGTCTACAGACCAAAATAGTAGCCACTCTTGAAGTCCCGAATTATTTTCATATCCAAAATATCTGCTAAAGTTCCATAATAAAGATTATTGGTAAATATATAAATCCATGACTAGATTCACACAATTTTATATAATGCCACATGATATACAATATTTATATTAAATATATCTATACTAGCAGGATACCCGGCTTCGCTCGGGGGTCATAACTCCGAAACCGGATGTGGTAGACTAACGCCACCTGGCCTATGTTACTCCCCGGTCCGAGCTACCTCTATACCCCAAATTTCAGACTCGGGGCAGACCTAGTGTAGCCGCCAACCCCGAACAGACCGGCTTCGCTCGGGGGTCATAACTCCGAAACCGGAAGTAGTAGACTAACGCCACCTGGCCTATGTTACTCCTCGGTCCGAGCTACCTCTATACCCCAAATTTCAGACTCGGGGCAGACTTAGTGTAGCCGCCAACCCCGAACAGACCGGCTTCGCTCGGGGGTCATAACTCCGAAACCGGAAGTGGTAGACTAACGCCACCTGGCCTATGTTACTCCCCGGTCCGAGCTACCCCTATACCCCAAATTTCAGACTCGGGGCAGACCTAGTGTAGCCGCCAACCCCGAACAGACCGGCTTCGGTCAGGGGGTCATAACTCCGAAACCGGAAGTGGTAGACTAACGCCACCTGGCCTATGTTACTCCCCGGTCCGAGCTACCCCTTTACCCCAAATTTCAGCCTCGGGGCAGACCTAGTGTAGCCGCCAACCCCGAACAGACAGACAGATACCCGGCTTCGCTCGGGGGTCATAACTCCGAAACCGGAAGTGGTAGACTAACGCCACCTGGCCTATGTTACTCCCCGGTCCGAGCTACCCCTATACCCCAAATTTCAGACTCGGGGCAGACCTAGTTTAGCCGCCAACCCCGAACAGACAGACAGACAGACAAACGACAGTCACAAATATATATATAGATAGATAATTATAAGATTTTAATTTTATAATATTATCAATATTTAATGTTACTCCTACTTTAAATATGACTTATATTTATTTCATGCTTGAACTCCTATTTACATATAACCATAATTAGAGAGAGAGAGAGAGAGAGAGAGAGAGAGAGATGGGGTTTTATGTCCACCTGACACAAACTAGGTTATTTTGGGACTAATATGGCTTGTTGATAGGGGTCTTTATCAGTGAGAATAGTAGGAAAACAATCTTTGTTGCTGAAAAGAACAACTCTTACCGCTTATGACTGGAAAATTCTATTCAATTTCAAATCTAACCAGCGGCTGCCAGGCAGGATACGCCCACATTTTGCAAAAGATGGATAGAGAACAAGCTAAAAACAAACGTGATTTTTTGTACGAGGGGCAATAATCCAGAAAGTTATGGTCTGAAATGTGCAAATATCAAAAGGGACAGAGATCTTTGGGATATAAAGATATCTTCTAAGTTTCATCAAAATCGGATAAAAATTGGGACCTCAAGAGGGTCCACAACCTTCGAATTACACACTTCTAAACAATTTGCGTACAAAGAGCGGCCATTTTGTCGAGCAGTTTCAGTTCGATTTTCCCGAAATAAGAATTCAACCTTCATTATGGTGGAATGGTGATGTATTTAAACGGTTTTTAAAATCGGAAAAAAATTGTGACCTCTAGAGAATCCGCAAGCTAAAAATGCGACTTTTCGAACAATCAAAAGGAACCAAGATCTTAGTGTGTAATGGTGATATATTCACACGTTTTTTTTTAAATTGGATAAAAATAGTGACCTCTACAGGGACCACAAGCTAAAAACGTGATTTTTTGTTCAATCAAGGGCCATAATTCAGGAAGTTATGATCCGATATAGACGAATATCGAAAGGAACCAATATCTTTTGGTTATAAACATGTATTTCAAGTTTCATTGAAATCGGATTAAAATTCGTCAATAGGCAGACGAAGTGACTTATCTTCCTACCGTAACCTATTGACGATAAGTCACTTCGTCTGCCTATTGACGAATTGTGACCCTCTAGAGTGTCCACAACCTTGATTTACCAGATGTTTACACTATTTGCATACGAGGGGCGGCCTTTTTGTCCGGCAGTTTTGGCCTGATTTTCACGAAATCTGAACTCAACAAACATTACGGAGTAACAGTGATATATTTGAATGTTTTTTTTTAAATCGAATAATAATTGTGACCTCTAGAGGGACCACAAGCTGAAAACGCGATTTTGCGTACAATCAGAGGACATAATTCAGGAAGTTGCAATCCGATATGCGCGAATATTGAAAGGAACCGAGATCTGTGGGTTATAAACATTCATTTCAAGTTTCATCAAAATCAGATGAAAATTGTGACCTCCAGAGGGTCCACAACCCTGATACACAATATTTTGACACTAATTGAGAACGAGGGGGCAGCCATTTTGTCCGTCAGTTTCGGTCCGATTTTTATGAAATTCGAACTCAACCACCCTTAGGGTGTAACGGTGATATATTGTAACGTTTTTTTTTTTTAAATCGGATAAAAATTGTGACCTCTATGGGGTCCACAAGCTAAAAACGCCATTTTTCGTACAATCAGGGGCCATAATTCATTAAGTTATGGTACGATATGTGCGAATATCGAAAGGAACCGATATCTGTGGGTTATAACCATACATTAAACCAAATCGGATAAAAACTGTGACCTCTACAGTGTTCACAAGCTAAAAACATGATTTTTCGTACAATCAAGGACCATAATCCACGAAGTTATAGTCTGATACATGCCAATATCGAAAGGAACCGAGAACTTAGGGTGATAAACCTATAACATTTTAAGTTTCATTGAAATCAGATAAAAATTGTGACCTGTAGAGTGTTCACAAACAATTGTGGACGGACGGACAGGGGGGATGACAATATACGTCCAGATGAAAATTGTGGGCGTATAAAAATACTGCAATTATAAGTAATAGATATAATAATGATAAAAGTGAAGAGTGTTGTGGTCTGCAGTTGTACCTACACTACACAAACTATAGCCCATTCCTTTTAATGATCAGTCATCTGCCAAACTTGCAGTAAACATGATAGAAGCTTTTTGCCATTTTATTTATTGTGAGCTGACTAATTACTATTAGTCCAAATATTGTTTGAATTGGTTGCATTATACAACTAATTGGGAACATACATGTATGTTTTAAGCACAAATTAATACACTCTCCAAGATACATGAAATTACAGACTTGTTATAAACAGCAAACTCTCAACAGATATACACATATTCATTTACTAATAAAATATTACAATAAGAAGGACAATCGCTTTTAAACACCAAGACACATTCTTATTGAGTATTACTTTATGAGAACTGTATTTCTGATACAAATAAAACAGGACACAACATTAATAGCACTATCATTAAATAGGTAAAACTAAAAACAAGTCATTGATCAGTGTGTTATATCAAGCTGTATATAAATTTTAGAGTAAAGCGATGGTTCACTAACCTGGATGCCCGTATTTCGATCCGGTTGTTTGCAGACAATGTTCCTCTGAAATTTTTGTGTGGTTTCTCCTTGTCAGAGGGACATGATAGAGGGCCAGGCAAGGAACAATGTTTAGTTGTTTGGAATGGGCAGAAAATTTTCGGCCATGTACATGCTGGTGGGCAAAATTTTCCTTATGCATGTGTAAATGTTTCTTTCATTAGTGGAGCCTGATATATGAATTCTGGGACTGCATCTTTAAACAGTGAATACTGATATTATGTTTAGTAAGTGTTGGATCTAGACTAGGTTCAGAATGTTACAGATCCGGCTGGTAAACAATTATTAACTAAGCGATAATATCTTACATCATTCACAAGTCTATGAACATTCTGGGTAAAAGTTGGTAAATCCTGAAAACAAAAATGAATAAGATAAAACTAGATTCAAAAACATAATTTTAGATGTCAAATTTCAATTGAAATAAATCTGTCACTAAATTACATTATATGGGTAAAATATTTTAATTTTGACATTCTAGTTATGGTGAGGATTTTAACTTGATGGGTATCATGCTCAGTGCAGAATAGGCTTACTAAATGTAAGAGATGAGGGAGAAATGGCACTTAACATCTACTTGACACCAATTAAGTCATTTTGGGACTAAATATGGTACCATTTTATTTCAATAATTTGATTATGTACAGCTGTCTTTGCACAATGGATGAACCTGGATTAAGTGCACAAGGTTAGGTAGGCGATCCTACTCTATGTTTTGTATAAACCCAGAATACACAAAAGCCCTTTTGATTTACACTTTACACCCCACTCTCTTATCAATCCTATAAAAAAAAAAAGATTGAAAGCGTCTTACCTTGTCTATCTTAAAGTTATGACTTAATATTGTTTTTTGATTAACATCTAGCCCATTACAAGTGTTTAAAAAGTGAGGCAGAAATCCTGTATAAAAGCCTTCAAAGTCGACAGAAGCCATATTATACACAGTTATAACTATTTCTTCTTGTAATAAATCGTGAGATTTAACAACTAATGTCTGTATTAACACATTTAAAAACTGGGATAACATCATCTCTTTAAATATTGACTGAAAAAAATAATAATTATAAAATAATAAATTTCAAACAGGGTTGGTGAGAGAGAGACATGGAGAGATTTCAATAATTCGCTTGCTAGGGGTCTTTAGCAGTGGGAGAAAACCCACGAGAAAGTACAACTGGCGAATCGAAACCCCGCCAGTTGACTCAATGACAGACCTCAAACAGGGTTTGTACTTAGTAGTAAATATAGTTACATTTGATAAAGGGTTGTATAACCAGAAACATTATAATGAATAAACCATCTGTTATTTCAACTTAAAATCTGTTTTATACTGTTGAGCAGGGATTTTTAAATATATATAATGTATTTTCCTTCAGCAGTGTTAGGTCATCTATTTACTGCTATAAAAGAGCATAGTCAGTATACTTATACCATTGTATCTATACATCAATAACATTATGACCAGGCACAATGGCCAGTCAGTTTTAATATCAATCAGGGTAGAAGCTAATTAGTTAAGTACTTAATCTATTATTGTTTATTTATGTTACTGTCTCTAGTGATAATCCTGAATAGTATATGTTTTGATGTCAACACTTGAGCTTATCTATTTATAGTTAGAATATAAAAAGGTTAATGTACATCAATAGGCAGTCATTAGGTCACCCGACTTAGTAGCAGCTACGTCGGTCATCCACTGTGCTGTAAGTGTACATTGTATGTATTGAATTATTGTCATTTGTAAGAGATAAGTTCCAGTAATTAAAAGATTGAAGAACGATTCCAGACTTATTAGTTATTGAAGACCTAGCGGTTATATATGGTGGAGATGCCGGGTAAGATCCTAGAAACCTTTCAACAAGCCAAGCGAGTAGCCAAACCCCAACCAAAGATGGAACCAGTGATCCCAAGTAAACTAGCGGAAATACTTAAGGTAATGGATTTATATTCAGAAGCACATCTGTGGAGATGTGAAAATGGAAATAATCATTTCTCAGTTACCTTGACATGGAAAAAAACAAATGCTCAAAAGGACAACCAAAAATCTTCTAGTAGAAAGACAAGAGATATTCTTAGATGCCAGAAGTTTAAAGAAAGATGTGCCTTACTCAATAAAGAGAATGCTTCAACTCACATTAATTCTCTGACTGTAGGTCCTGTTGAAAAAGGGACGTTGAATTCAACAAAAGACAGTGAGTCCCAAACGGAGCGCAGGAATACATCTGATAAAAATATTCAAGCAAAAACAATAGTGGCTGCAGCCACAACCCAGACCGTCATGAGGGGCATATTCAAACAAAATGGGAAACATGGACAGAAACAACACCACAACCTGATATGCTAATAGATCAAATTTTACAAAAAAGAAGAAGTAATCTATATGGTGAATTTGAGTATTTAATCAAATGGATAAATAAACCACATGCAGGAAATACATGGGTCTCAGAATATGATCTAGATGAGTATGGAAGATCATTGACTGAAGTAAACAAGCATAAGATTCCAGTACCGTTTCCAAAGCCAAAATGTGACACATATGAACTTTCAAAACCAGCTACCCAGACAGACATCAGAATGTGTGAATGTGATGAAAGTGTATATCCAAATGTAAAAGATACAGAGCACTTGCTCAATTTCAAGATCCAGAAACTTTTATACAGTATTTCCAGATTGAAAAACGTATATATAGAACTAGAACATTGATTGAGTGCTTCACTGAGTGGGAATGGATAGAGAAAGTAATTAAAGAAGATCCAGAATTTTATCAGAGAATGACACATTATAGAGTTCCGGTTCCAAGGATAGGTCTTAAGTTATGGAAACAAATTGCTAGATAATTGAACTGTAACAAGCCAACAGTGAGGCTGATGTCCCCCGCCGAAATAGGAAAATAATTAGAGGACACATATAAATTTATCACAAATTATCTTTTACAAAGTATTGAACAATCAAACAGTATATCTTTACTTATAGTCTAAGCATACAATGTTTTTGATGGAATAATTATAGCATATTAAGGGGAAAACATGCTCTATGCCTACAGATCTAGAGTTTGGTTGTATCAACGGGTCTATTTTCCATCTTGCTGCAAGTTGTGCAAAGTTCACTGTTTTCTTTCTGTCATTAAATGTCAATTCATTATTGCATACTACATATTTAATTAATTTATAATAGTTTCTTTTTCAATTTGTTTTTTCCATTTATTTGTTTATTTACCTTGCCTATATTCATTGTATTGGATTGTATTGGAATTGCTCAATTGATGCTTTTATCAATACCTGGTTATAATATTATGACATGTAATGTGGCAAGTTGAGTCGGGACATGTAGGCTATAATGTAACCTAAATGTATACATAAGTGGATTTCGTTTCATTTTTTTCGAAAATATTGTACAGATAAAAGAGGAGGAATTACAGGGGTAATACATTGGAAAGCTTCTTCAAGAACTAAAGCATAAACTATATAAACGAGCTTATAAAAAGGAAAAGTTTGTATAAAGACGTTTCGTTTGCACAACTGGGTGATGATAAATCACGTTTTGTCTTTCTAGCAGACGAGACAGACGGACGAACCCATTTTAATAGTTCCCTGCTTTCTTCGAAAGGCGGGGGACAATCAAAGTAGGAGAGTTATTGTTTTCCAAAGTCTCGACCAATCAAATTGCGTATCGCTCTGCTTACCCTGAGCAGAAAATGCTCATTATCAAACTTAGTCAAGGTATTACTGTAATGAAACTATACACCAAGTTTCATCAATCTCACTTAATTAGAACTAAAGTTATCGTGTCCCAAAGCATCAACCAATCAAATTGCTTATCTCTGCTTACCCTAAGCGGAAAATGCTCATCTTCGAACTCCATCAAGGCATTGACCTAATCAACACATACACCAAGTTTGAACATTCTAGCTCAATTAGGAAGAGAGTTATCGTGCCCCAAAGTAATCAACCAATCAAATTGCTTATCTCTGCTTACCCTAAGCGGAAAATGCTCATCTTCGAACTCCATCAAGGCATTGATCTAATAAACACATACACCAAGTTTGAACATTCTAGCTCAATTAAAAGTTATCGTGTCCCAAAGCATCAACCAATCAAATTGCTTATCTCTGCTTACCCTAAGCGGAAAATGCTCATCTTCGAACTCCATCAAGGCATTGACCTAATCAACACATACACCAAGTTTGAACATTCTAGCCCAATTAGGAAGAGAGTTATCGTGTCCCAAAGCATCAACCAATCAAATTGCTTATCTCTGCTTACCCTAAGCGGAAAATGCTCATCTTCGAACTCCATCAAGGCATTGACCTAATAAACACATACACCAAGTTTGAACATTCTAGCTCAATTAGGAAGAGAGTTATTGTGTCCCAAAAAGTGTGACGGACAGACAGACGTCCTGACAGACGGACGGACAGACGGACAGACAGACGGACAGACGGACGGACAGACGGACAGACAAACGGACGAACCCATTTTAATAGTCCCCTGCTTTCTTCGAAAGGCGGGGGACAAATACATGCAAACATGAATAATAGGGAATATTCTTGTGTTTCATTGCAGCAGTAGAGGGAAAATTGAAAATAAACAGTTTATGATAGTCTCTAATATTTTGTACATAATAATTTATTTTTATGAGTGTCGAGGTCGACACATCGTGAAGGGGAGGCATATATGACCAGGTACAATGGCCAGTCAGTTTTAATATCAATCAGGGTAGAAGCTAATTAGTTAAGTACTTAATCTATTATTGTTTATTTATGTTACTGTCTCTAGTGATAATCCTGAATAGTATATGTTTTGATGTCAACACTTGAGCTTATCTATTTATAGTTAGAATATAAAAAGGTTAATGTACATCAATAGGCAGTCATTAGGTCACCCTACTTAGTAGCAGCTACGTCGGTCATCCACTGTGCTGTAAGTGTACATTGTATGTATTGAATTATTGTCATTTGTAAGAGATAAGTTCCAGTAATTAAAAGATTGAAGAACCATTCCAGACTTATTAGTTATTGAAGACCTAGCGGTTATACTATCACGTGTTTATGACAATAATATTTCTTTCTACTGCTCATACATTATGCAATAATATAGACTTTAATAATATAGAATATTATAAGAGTAAGATAATACAATAGCATGAATCACTCCCCTTTGTTTCAGTAAGCTTATTCGTGAGTTACTTTCTTTTTTAGAATTTTGTTTATAGTCGTCTTTTTAAATCAAGAAATTCCTTTGTCAATACAGGACTGTACTGCATAGCTGAAGCTAACTATCGGGCTCCAAATCGATACACTTTATTTGATAGTTATCTTAGGCCATATTAAAAAAATCGCTACAAAAATTATTTATTTTGTCAAAAGAAATGAAATGAAATGGGGTTTAACGTGCTGCTGTTCTACTCTGACTATGGGAAAAATTTTGCCCAGACAGTGGCACTATGGCCTACTCTTATATCGAATTTCAACTGCTAAGGGATTTGTACTGTGCATGCCAATGTGTACACAGAACCTTGGTTTTTCATATCATCCAAACAACTATACAGCTGTCCTTGCTGTCCTACACCACTGACAAGGGGAAACCACACTGGAAAAGCCTGATGAACTTTCTCGGCCAACACCTGGAGCGAACCCATGACCTCCAGACTAGCAAGCCAGCATCTTACTTGGGCACCGTGGCTCCCTTTTGTCAAAGGATCATGTAGCTAAACGACTGACTTATCACAAGCATCATATATATATTTCAAGGCACTTCATTTATCTCATCATGTTGTTTATAGTAATATATAATTATCTAGGATAATTTTTAATTGTCAGTAACATTTATCTCATCATGTTGTTTATATTAATGTATAATTATCTAGTATAGTTTATAATTGTCAGTAACATTTATCTCATCATGTTGTTTATAGAAATGTATAATTATCTGGTATAACTTATAACTGTCAGTTAACATTTATCTCATCATGTTGTTTATTATAATGTATAATTATCTAGTATAGTTTATAAATGTCAGTAACATTTATCTCATCATGTTGTTTATAGTAATGTATAATTATCTAGTATAGTTTATAATTGTCAGTAACATTCATCTCATCATGTTGTTTATTATAATGTATAATTATCTAGTATAGTTTATAAATGTCAGTAACATTTATCTCATCATGTCGTTTATAGTAATGTATAATTATCTAGTATAGTTTATAATTGTCAGTAACATTTATCTCATCATGTTGTTTATAGTAATGTATAATTATCTAGTATAGTTTATAATTGTCAGTAACATTTATCTCATCATGTCATATTTAGTAATAATAATTATCTAGTATAGTTTATAATTGTCAGTAACATTTATCTCATCATATTGTTTATAGTAATGTATAATTATCTAGTATAATTTATAATTGTCAGTAACATTTTTCTCATCATGTCGTTTATAGTAATGTATAATTATCTAGTATAATTTATAATTGTCAGTAACATTGTTCTCATCATGTTGTTTATAGTTATGTATAATTATCCAGTATGATTTATGATTGTCAGTAACATTTATCAGTGTTGTGTACTTGATAAATGAGTCTACGCCACATTTCTTCATTCACTCAAATCTTTTTATGGATATATTTCCATTTTTAAGTAACGCAGGATTGTCTGAGAACTAGAATATTTTTTTTATATTGCCTTATGGCAAACAATATCTGTGTTTTTATTCAGTTCTATAGATCCTTTTCTAGTCTCATCCAAAATAGTTACCTTGTTATACAGCTTCCATTTAGCATTAAGAATTTCTAGAGATTCTAAATTCTGTTTAAATATTGTTATATCTGGTTGTAAGAAAGATTGACCATAAGCCTGAAAATATATATAAACATATACGGTACTATTATAATGTGAAACAAGAACATTGTTTGTGCCTTAAATTATAATAGTGTAAATACAAATTAATGTAAATAAGGGCAAAGATTTAAACTGTCATGTTGAAAACAAGGTGTCATTATCAGTATTATATACATGTTTTAATGCCCATACCATGACATCACAATGGCTATCTTGGTGGTAGATGTTCTTTATAAATTAGTCTATATTATTCATTGCGGGCTTATTCAAAAATTCAAGTCTATAATTTGATTTTCCTAGCCATTACAAATATATACTTTCTTATAACAACTAAATTACCTGATTAAAACCCAGTCAATAATTCATAATTTCTGCTGAATTTTATAAACCATTATTATCAATGGATAGTCTGAACAGGATATTTTTATATAAGGGGGAGGGGGGCAGTTATGGCAAAGTGGTAGACAATTATTGACTAGAATGTCCCAGGTTTAAAGAACCGCTCTAACAAGCCCGACGTGGAATCTGCTGGGCTGACATGGAAAGTGTTCCAATAGGGTCTACCAGTGTACACATTGGCATGCATGTAAAAGAACAATTGGCCATTGAAGAATTGATGGATAGACCACTGTCCAGGCAAAATTCTTCTTTTCGTAACTAATAAAATGAAAATGTTAGTCTCAAAATGACATATTGTGTTGATGAGACTCTAAACCTCATTTTATTCATTCTTTCTAGTTGTTCGTATGGAATAAAACCTGAGGTCCTGTGTACACATTGGTGCACACGTAAAAAAACCTTGACAGTTGGAATTTGAAATAATAGTAGGCTGTAGCACTGGCTGCCTGGGAAAAATTTCCTTCATAGTACACTGCACGGCATATGCCTGTCTTTATATAAGCCAGAAGTTAAATCCCATTTCATATCATTTATTCATTCATTCATTCCATATATAGAAATGTAACATATCAAATCACCTGCATAATGTTAATAAATTTATCACCATTTTCTATTTCTTCTGATTGTTTTTGTAGTTTTGAGATAACAGATCCTTTAAAGAAGTAGCGCCAGTTGTTGGCAATAATTTCATGGAGTAAAGTATATAACACCAATTTTATATCTGGTGATGGCCTCTGAAATAACAAAGATTAATAATGCAATTAAAGGAAAACTCACAGATGTATTTTAGTGAATAAAACTGGAAAAAAACTATGTAGGATTGGTAAGATTTTGTCAATAGAGTTAAAATGATTGAAGAAACCAATTAGATCTGAGTAACAACATAAATATGAGGAAGATATGATAGTCCTCTCCGAACAGAAATACATGTACATCAAACATGGGTAGAATAAAACATGAGTTTATTGCATGACGTTTTGGGACGAGTGGCACTTTATCAAATGCGCGACATTATTAGGGTGCCCCACCATAAATACATATCTCCTAATATCTCCAAGTATATATATAACAAGTCTTAACTTACCACCTCACATTTATAGTCCCTAAATAAACGGTTGTGTTGTATTTAGCAAGTTATAAGCATTTCAAATAATTAAAAAAATTAGACTGAAATAGTTGTCAAGCCGCATCCATTAAATCCAGGCATTTTTTAGTGCAAAATAGATTATCTGCCCTTGATATGAAAATAGTCCCTCTTAACCAGTCTACCGACTGTTTTCCAGTTGACTGACAGGCCGGGATAATCAAAATTATTTTCTACGAAACGTTACAGAAAGCTAAATCAATAAATCTAAGTTAGAAGCATGCACGTTAGGCAATTCAATGATTGTTTTCAGAACCTTGTAAAAACGAAAGGAAGATACTACTAGTATGCTATTCTTGCCTAATGAAGGAGCTTCAGAGATACTAATTTTACTAAACCAAAAGATGGTGCTCCTAACAGTATAATTCATAATATAGCAAATTAAGAGCTGCTGTAACAACGAATCGTTATGGAGAATCGTTAACAATAGACTTTTTACGGCTTTAATAGTCAATATATGTGTTGAAAATTTCATGTGCGATGGCCATTTATAACATCATTGACAATACCGCCCAGTATTCTCACACAGCGTGACTAGCCAGAAATCAGTTCGGGACTAGTCACTAAAGCATGCACATTCGCTGTGACTGTATCTTCAGTGGGGACTATATATATATCTTCAACATTAGATTTCTTTGGAGAGAGAGAGAGAGAGAGAGAGATATTTTTGTTTTTAATCCACTCAACACAAATTATGTCATTTTGGGACTTGTCACGTACAAGCGGCGAATTGAAACTGGTACTATCAGTGGATAGATCTGATCCATACATATAGTTATAATAACTTACTGGTACTATCAGTGGATAGATCTGATCCATACATATAGTTATAATAACTTACTGGTGCTATCAGTGGATAGATCTGATCCATACATATAGTTATAATCTGTGGAAGAAATGATTTAAACTGTGAACCTGGCTCTTGGACAATTAATGACAAAATCTTCAAAAATCTGCAAAAGATAAAATTGTTACATATCCCTTTTAGAGAAAGTCAATTGACTGTGAACATCTGTTGAGGTAGAATCCACTTTTATTAGCCGTGTGGGACACACCACAAATGTGTTTATTTAACTAATTAATATAGGTAGCTTTGTACATCATATAAGCAAACATTGATTGCAAATTGCCCTCTACAAAGAATCAGCTTTTCAATGTTAAACTATATAAATTTTTGAGTTCAAAATGTGACGAGCTGGCAAATGATCAACAGCATATGTTGGCATATATATATATATATATATATATATATATAAAGTGTCTTTTATATATACCTCTCTATAACACGAAATGCTGAAGAACTTTCTTGATTAATTGTCTGTGATAAATGTTCTCTGAAATCATAAAACATACAGCATTTATATTTAGTACTACAACTACTAATTTTTATATATTGTTTTCTTAATTATCCTTTAATTCACAAATTCTTACATGACTGTTAACTTGAAATCAATCCAAGCAAATGTTGTGTAACTATAAATGCACATTTTCTTTTAGAAATTGCCATGAAATATTTGCTATTTTCCAAAGATTTCATTATAATGTGTAAGAGACTTACTTAGTAAATAGATTGATAAATGTCTGTATAACTTGTTGTGTAAAGGGTACACCCATCTGTACACGAACACCTTGAAATAATGCTAGAAAAAAACTCATTATACTCTCTACCACACCTGTAATATAAAATCATTCAATATTAATTCTTCTAATATAGGCAATTTTATTACCAGCTTTCCAAACATTCCTTCTGGCATACAGAGGTACATAAGTCATTTTATTGTTTTTTTTTTTTAAAGCTAAATCAGATCAGATTTAATTGGACACCTAATGATTTGAATATTTTAGAAATGAATTATGTACACTTGCTCAGTACAGGGCTACATGTGTTACTGGTATTCAATATTGTACAGAAGAATTGACATTTGATCAGTCCAACAGCATAAAACAATTCTTGTTACTTACACAATATTATAATTTGTATGCATCGCGAGTTTCTGATATTTTACAAGACACTGACATCAATTTCATACAGATCAGATTATAATTTTGGTCATTTGAGCGTTCACAAGGGTTTTACAAACTGAAACAAGGGCAATAACTCCAGAAGTAATTTACATAAATTATTGAAATTAGAAAGGCTTCTCTGTTTTACCAATTTAAATAATACTATAAATGAATTTCATACAGATCTGATGATATCTTTTGTACAAAGTGAAACAAGGGCCATAACTCTAGAAGACATTACCAGAAATTGCATAAATTAAATAGGCTTCTTCGTTTCACTAATTTATATAATGCATATAAAATTCATACAGATCGGATGATAACTTTTGTTCTTAAGAGTGTTCACAACGTGCAACAAAGTGAAAAAGGGCCATTACTCCAGAAGATATTAACGGAAATTGACAAAATTTAAAGCTATTATGAATGTGTTTAATCAATTTATTCTGACACTGCACCCAGTTATTTAAAAGAACTCTTTGATTTCTATACTCCCCAGCGATCAAACCTTCATTCTTCAGGTGATCGTAGCATTTTAAGGATTCCTAAATATAATAAAATGTGGAATGATCTTCCAAAAACTCTTTGAGAGTCCTCTTTCATCCTGAGCTTTAAGACTAACTTAAAAACATATTCATTTCAAAAATGTTTTTGAACTGTTTTGTTGTGAATGCGCTTAGAAACACTCATGCGTAATGAAGCGCTATTTAAATCGAACAATAATAATTTAAATGATGCATATAAATTTTAAACATATGGTATCATAGGGCCTATAGTGAAACAAAGGTCATATAACTCTAGAAGTAATTAATGAAAATTACTGAAATTCAATAGAATTCTTTGTTTCACTAATTCAACTCATGAATATAAATTCCATACAGATCGGATGATAACTTGTGTCGTTAGAGCGTTCACATTTCCATGTGGGCGTATAAAAGATCAGATGCAGACAATAACTTTATAAATTATAGGCGATTAAATCAGAAAATAGCTTATATATGATAAAAATAAACTCTGCTTAGTATAATAAATCACTATGATATATACCTGTTTGTTGTATATAAACAGGAAATATAGTTAATGTTACATGTGTTACAGATTGTAACGACTGAAAACAGATCTTCTTACTCTTTACTACTTCACCAGCTATAGCTTCTATCCAATCTTCTAACATAGATAATGTCTGTTTTATCACTGGTACAGCTATACAATAAATATAAACAATTATAATCTTCTATCATAGATAATGTCTGTTTATTCACTGGTACAGCTATTTAAATAAATATAACTCTCATAGAAAATGTCTTGTTTTATCACTGTTAAATCTATACAATAAATATAAACAATTATAATCTTCTAACATTGAAAATATCTGTTTTATCATGGGTAAAGCTATACAAAAATATAAACCCAAACTAGGGATGAAACAGTCTTCAAAGAAGAATAATATGGGCGCTTCTACTTCTTTAATCCACACTCCCTGATAGATACTATTGATATTCAATTTCAATCCATCCTTTAGAGATAAAAATTCATCTATATTTGTCAAAGTGTAAAACAACGTAATATATCATACCTTTTTCTTGTAAAATCTTGTTTTCGGCTAATGTTCTAGTATCTTTAAGTTGTAGATATTCTAAAGTTAATTGATTAACTAAGTTTTGATGTATATTAGCTCTGTTATCCCAGTCTTGTTGAGAATCAGGTATATTTAACCAGGGTAATAATAAATAATGGGACAGTGATCTATATACTAATAACTGTACCTAAAATACAATACAAACCGATTACAATATACCTAAAATACAAATAGATTACAATGAACCTAAAATACAAATAGATTACATAACATACCATACAGATGTAGGTTACACTGCACTTTAAAAACAAATATATTACAATGTACCTAAAATAATATAGCTATGTTTTATTTAAAGAGAGATTCGTAACTTGACAACGGTTGGCTGTGATTTCTAAAATAATTTAACTATTTTTATTATGTAACATGACTGACAAAAGATGTGTATAGAAAGTTTCAGTTATCTCAAATGTTATCCAGTGTATATCCCAAGACTTCTTCTTCATGGAGTTTTATCAAATGGTTACATATGATGAATGCAATTAGTTATATGTAGTGACAGGTGTTATAAATATGACACATTATGTCAACTCCATCTTGAACAATCTGATTAAAATACAGATCTATATTTCGTTTCGTTTTTTTTATATACTTTGATGGACTTCACTACATGAAGATCTGTCCGTTTCTAGTGGAAGGTCGCGTCAGGTGTCATATGAGCAGCTTTGGACCCATCCTTGGTTACCCAGTGTACTCAATCCGTTCTACTCCACTATACCCTGGGTTAATCTATGGGGGAGACACGTTTTCAAGTTATCCGCCCTTGATGATTGTGCTATTTTTATCGACCAATCCCATAAATTGTTATTTGAAAAGGAAGTTTGCAAAGGGAAGTAACTCTAATCTGACAATGTTAGGAGTTGGCCTATTCAACCAATTACATATTATGTTAATGAAGACCAGACGTTCATATAATAACGTAGGGTCATTAGTTTTATTTAGAATCCTTCGTTCGTTACCGTAATTTTATGTCCACGTGATATCGTAGACGAGTTATTGTGAATCAAATAATTAGTATAAGTTCAATAATAATAAACATAACAGAATGACATATTTCAGACAAAAAACGAATAGTAATAATAATAACAAAAGTCAAACATATAGATGTTATACACATTTGAAATCAACAACACATACTACAGATTTTGATAATACTATTAAATATAAATAAATTATAAATATATACATTATTTACATAAATCATTCAGTAAAGGGACATGAATATGGTTATCTACTGTTATAAAAACGAAGGCGAAACGATCAGTTTGTAAACTGTTTTCTTATTGGTTCGTAGACTGTAGCTACATTCTACGCCAGGACAGATAATTTGAAATCGTGGAAACCCTATGGATTAACCCAGGGTAAAGTGGAGTAGAACGGAATGAGTACACTGGGTAACCGAGGATGCTTTTGACCCTATGACATCAGACATGTGATTAACCAATTAGTGTTGATGTTTTAAGTGGGTATTTGCTTTGCTTTGTTTTTGCTGCGAATGTCTACCCATAATTCTGTGAAACAACAGACAATTTGATTGGCTAATCCCTCACATTGTAGTGAAACGAAATTTTGAACTATAAAAAAAATGAAATAGGAGATCTTTTACCACTTTCGATTTGAGTTCACATCACTAACAAATGTTGTGTTATGCAAACTGCAACTATAATCATAGGAAGAAAACCAAATAGTTTCAGAGATAAAATAGTAAAAGAGATTTTTGAAAACAAAAATCTTTAAATAGAAAAATGCAGAAAATCATTACTTACGTCTTGTGAAAGTTGAGAAAAAGAACCTTGACCAGCAGCAGTATATAATGTTGTCATACAAGGTACTTGTAGTAAAAAACATGGACGGACAGTAGTTGTTATAGATAATAACAGATGGGCGGCAGAATGCACTATTTTCTCAGGTATCTAAAGAAATGTGTCAAAATCAATATTATTAGAAATGAAATGAAATGGGGATTAACTTCCTACTGTTCTGAGCCAAACTGGGCTAATGAAAACGGACATACGCCATACAGTGTGCTGTGAGGGACATTTTGCCCGGACAGCGGCAATACGACCTACTCTTACACTGAATTCCAACTGTCAAGGGATCTTTTTACGTGCATGCCAATGTGTACACAGGATCTCAGTTTTTCACCTCATCCGAATAACTAGACAGCTGTAGTTCTATGGCCCTCCGTTCTGCATCACTGACAAGGTGAAACCACGCCAGAAAATCAGGATGAAATTTCTCGGCCAATGCATGGATCGAACAACCGAGCTCCAGGCTAGCAAGCCAGCGTCTTACCAACTTAGCCACCGTGACCTCCCAAAATTATTAGAAACATGGCACTTAAATGTGAACAGGATAAGTTGAAAATAAGCATAAGTTAAATGAGCAGACATTAAATAACCTACCTGTTTATTAATCATAGAACAGACGGATGTCAGGATTGTATTTATCACATTATAAAATGGCTGATTACGCTCTTGCAGCTTCTGTGTTTGAACGTAAAATTGAACTAACCAATGGGAGTAGGCTTTAGTGGCTGCTAGTGCTTGAGCATGTCTGAAATAGAAAGTGCAAAGAAAAAACAATGAGAGTTACATTTAAAATGGTTTTAGACCATGATAACAATAATGAAAACAAAAATTGAGAATAGGACAACTAGGGATAGGGATCAAAACATTATAAGCATGTGAAAAAAAGTTTTAATTACAAAATCAGGGCAAAAGACCTCATTAGAATATTTTTACTACCTGTTGAACCACAGTTAAAAAAAAAACCAAACTGTTCTATTTGTATAATATATACATACACTTGTATAAAATCAGGTTGTAATACTGTCTGTGCTGTAGATTCCACATCAAATAGTTTATTATTACTACCTACAGCTGATGCTGATATTAATCTATGAAATACAATATTATACACATTAATAATCATAACTCTTGTTTAAATATCTAATACATGTATACTCATTCACAAATCATATCATTATCATATCATTATTAAAGGATATTATTATGCTTTTTAGGCTGTGATGCATTTGTATAACAATAATTATAGTATTTATATTACCTCTCTACTAAGCTTTGTGATATAGATGAACGTTCGGCAAATTTTTCTCCTATAAAATGTTCGGCAAGACGACCTGATGCTTGAAATAATGAGGAGAGATCTCGTAGGGTACAGTGTAAACGTCGACATTCATTCTCTCCAGTTATAGTTAATCTTCTACCTTGGTTACCATTGGTCACAAACTGACCTAATTCAGCGTAGATTGTTACAGCTTCATTAAATGGTTCCCACTGTAATCAAAAATAGGATCATATTAGTAAGTGCAGGGGGACCACACCACAAACAAACAATTGCACTAGAAAAATCTATGGACAGGACACAAATGTACATATCAGATCAAGTGAATGGATCCGGGGCTTAGCCGTAAACATCCACTGTGCTGTAGTGATAGTGTTTAGTGCAAGATTTAGCTTGCCATAGCTTTAAGTGAAGTTCTTTTAATAAACACCATAACTGTTACTACAGTACAAAGATTACTTACAATAAGTTGAAAAGTTTCTGCTGGAAGTAGTTCAGCCACTTTAGCTACAACTTCTAAGGAATGACGTAAAAACTGTTGCCACTCAGTTTCAGACTTGAAAAAGAAAATATTTATAAGTTTTGTTACAAAAGGATGGATATGAACCTATAAATAAATTAAAATATTATCAATTTTTTATAGAATCTGGAGGTAAATATATTAGAGGGGGATATGAGACACTACTGAGGATTGTAAAAATGCTGATTTTAACTATTAAGTGTATAAATCAACTTTATCTATTTTATCATAAATTGCGCAAAATACATACATTATCATCTAAAATATCATCATCTAATTCCTCTAATTGTGATTGGTTATAACGGAACTGTAATTTCTGTAATATATGGGACACTAGTGATGTCAGAGCTGCTTTGTATCTGTCAAATATAAATACAGATATGTTATGAATAGTTTTCTAGTGGACAATGTAGTCCAAACTGCCCAAAAAAACATAAAACAGAATAAACAATAGTAGACTACATTACTTGCAACAAAATTCCACATTGGCTTTTATTCAAAAGATAAGTTGCTAGGCAACGAAACATATGCCTGTCTCTTTGAATTCGCCCAAACATTCCTAATAGGTTTTCGTAAATTTGTTCTTTAGCAGTTAATGGAAACATTTACAAAATCAAGAGTAACAACCCATTAAGTCATTATCAGAAATAATTAAAATTTGATTGGTTTCCTGTTGCTAACATTTATTATACAAATTAATATGCTTCTTCGGTTCTTCCCTCTCATGAACATAATACTGTGTATAAATTACGTGTCAAGCGTCCACAAGGTTTTCAATTTGTAATTTTTGGAAATTGTTGAAAATTACTTGTAAGTGATGGCCTGACGGACAGACATGGGTAACAACAACATATCACATATCAATGAATTTGGGCATTATCATGATGAATATACATGAACGTACCTGCCTATAACAGATTCCTCGTCAGATGACCTTTCGCCTAATTTAGTTACTAGAAAGTCTAGAAATGTATTCCATATATCTAAACAATGATAATATCCTTCATGACTTGGCTGAAATAAAATATAAATACATGTAACTCAAGTTTACCTTATAATTCATACAATTGATAATACTTTAAGAATCAGTCAAAAAAATTAACATTTACTTGTTTTTCCATCTGTTTATTTCAGGAGGTCATCTATACCTTAAGCTTATTGAGCAAGAGTACACCAAAGCACAAGAAAGTGCTATATAATATATTTCAATTTTAAAACAATACATAAAATTTGGGTTGAATTTGGGGGCTTTCTTTGAGTAGAATATATTTTGGCTGTCAAAAAATAATGTAACATAATTAATATACCACTGATTTCTCTTCTTGAATTGATCACAACTAACTTACGACTATCCATTAAAATCAATATTTACTATATATAGCAACACTAGAATACAAAATTTCATACTAACCTGTCTAAAGGTATACTTAAATAGTAGGGATAGAAACTCAAGAATAGGAAACTTGGAATTGTTTTCAAACCTTCGTAAATGCACACTAACAAATAACTGCAAAAAATCGGTAAATTTTTCTACATAACTGAAACAAAAGGTAAAGAAAGATAAAATATGTTAGAACTGATAATGTAGACTGTAAAAAATTCACGACTTAATCTACCTCATGCTACATTGATAAAGCATGATTTAATCTACCGAATGCCAGATTAGTAAATTATGACAATCTACCGAATGCCAGTTAAACATGACTTAAACTACCTCTTGCCAGATTTTTAAATCATGTATTACTTCCTGAATATCATAGTTGTACTATACAATAACCAGCGGTTGCCAGGAAAGATACGCCCACATTTTGCAAGAGATGGATAGAGAACGAGCTAAAAACAAAAGCGATATTTCGTACAATCCGGGCCCATAATCCAGAAAGTTATGGTCTGAAGTGCACAAATAGGAAAAAGGACTGAGACCTTTGGGATATAAACATATATTTTAAGTTTCATCAAAATCAGATAAAATTGTGAACTCTAGAGGGTCCACAACCTTCGTATTACATACTTTTACACAATTTGAGTCAAAGAGCGGCCATTCAGTCGGGCAGTTTTGTTTCGATTTTCCTGAAATTCGAATTCAACCTTCATTGTGGTGGAATGATGATATATTTAAACGTTTTTTAAAATCGGATAAAAAATTGTAGCCTCTGGAGAATCCGCAAGCTAAAAAACATGATTTTTTGTACAATCAGGGGCCATAATCCAGGAAGTTACAGTCTGATATGCGCAAATAGTGAAAGGAACCAAGATCTTTGGGACATAAACATATATTTTAAGTTTCATCAAAATCTGATAACAATTTTGACTTCTAGCGGGTCCACAATCTTGGTATGACATACTTTTACACTATCTGCGTACAAGGAACCACCATTCTGTCAGGCTGTTTTGGACCGATTTTCACGAAATTGGAACTCAACCATCATTAGGGTGTAACGGTGATAAATTTAAACGTTTTTTAAGATTGGATAAAAATTGTGACCTCTAGAGGGTCCACAAGATAAAAGCGTGATTTTCCGTACAACCAGGGGCCATAATCCAGGAAGTTACGGTCCGATATGTGCAACTATCAAAAGGAACCACTAACTTGGGATTATAAACATACATTTCAAGTTTCATCACAATTGGATAGAAATTGTGACTTCTAGAGTGTCCACAACCTTGATATACCATAATACGTTTACATTATTTGCGTACGAGGGGCAGCCATTTTGTCCGGCAGTTTTGGTCCGATTTTCACGAAATTCGAACACAACCAACATTACAGTGTAACGGTGATCTATTTGAACGTTTGTTTAAATCGGATAATAATTGTGACCTCTAGAAAGACCACAAGCTTAAAATGTGATTTTTCTTACAATCAAGGAGCATAATTAAGGAAGCTACGATCCAAAATGCGTGAATATCGAAAAGAACCACGATGTTTGAGTTATAAACATGTATTTCAAGTTTCATCGGATCAAAATTGTGAGATCTAGAGGGTCCACAACCTTGACATACCATAATATGTTTTTTACTATTCGCATACGAGGGGGGGCCCCATTGTCCGTCCGTTATGGTCCAATTTTCACGGAATTCGAACACAATCGACATTACAGTGTAACAGTAATTTTTTTTTTTTTTTTTTTAAATTGGATAATAATTATGACCTCTAAAAGGACCACAAGCTTAAAATATGATTTTTTGTACAATCAGTGGATATAATTCAGGGAGTTACGATCCGATAAACGCTAATATCGAAAGGAACCAAGATCTTTGGGTTATAAACATGCATTTTACGTATCATAAAAATCAGATGAAAATTATGACCTATAGAGTGTCCAAAAGCTAAAAATGTGATTTTTCGTACAATCAGGGGCCATAATCCATGAAGTTATAAGGTCCGATACATGCCAATATCGAAAGAAACCAAGATCTTTGGGAAATAGACCTATATCTCAAGTTTCGTCAAAATCAGATAAAAAATGGGACCTGTAGTGTGTCCACAAACAAATGTTATGGTCCGATACATGCCAATATCGAAAGGAACCAAGATCTTTTGGAGATAGACCTATATTTTAAGTTTCGTCAAAATCGGATAAAAATTGTGACCTGTAGTGTGTCCTCAAACAAATGTGAATGGACACACAGGCGGATGGACGGGGGCGATCACAATATACGTCCATACATTGTATGAAAATGTGGGCATATAAATAATATGCATTTTATTCATTAAAACTTTACTAGTTCATATAGTTTGGAATTTTAATAGAATTAGAGAAATTATAATTAACCATACCTTTCATCCGATTCCTCTAATCGATTACCACTAGAATTACTTGTACTATCTTTTGTTAATTTCTGTAATAACGAAAATGTCTGCTGGAACATTTGCACTAGGAAATCCTCAAATTCTTGAGGTACACAGTTTTTGGCTAACAGTTCATTGATGCAGTTCATGGCCAATACACCTAAAAACTGGGTATTACCACTAAAGGAAGAATTGGGACTCGAGGCACGAACATTTCTCACTTCACATCCAAATCCCGCAAAATGGAAGATGGTGCTTAAAAGTTGTGGTGTGATGGTTGTGGATAGAGGAATCCAACTAAAAAAGTGAGCTAAACAGTTTAAAACTAGTGAACACAATTGTTTAGATTCGTCATCTAATGGTGGTAAGGCTTCAAGTTGTACACCTCTACCAGGACTTTTAAACATACTGGACATATCTAAAAATATTAAATACATTAAATTAAAGTAAAGCACAATCAATCCAAACCAGTAGTCAAATACATATCTACCAGATGAGAAAGTTACCTAGGGCTTTCCAGCGTAATTCACTCTTGTCAATGGTATACGAAGGGTAGGGCAGGATGGCAAGAAACTGTGTCTAGTTATTAGGATGGGGGAAAAAAACCCTAATGACGTTCTGTGTACACAGTGGCTTGCACATACAGTAAAAGAATGCTTTGAATGCCCACCGTATGCCTGTCTTCATTAGCCCAGTTTTTGCAGAAAAGTAGGATATTAAACATTTCAGTTTATTTTCTTCCTCAATACAATAATCAGAAGTGATATATAGATGATAGACAGAGAAGATTTTGATAACAGTGGTGTCATTTGTCTGGTAAATAGTGTCTTAAAAACCACCCATAATAGACAAGAGTAGGATACAGCATTAATTTTAATATGCATTTATGTGAATATCTACCAGGTCACATTAATTTTATACACATTTATTTAGATTCACTTCCAGGTGGCATCAATTTAAATACCCATTTACGTTCAACTCTAATATTACAATACATGTATCTTTATGATCATTTTTTTGTCAAATACCTACCAGATCTCGATGGAGATGTTGAAAATAATAAAAGTGAAGATTTACGATGAGAAGTACTTTCACCATGTGTGGGTGAGGGTGGTGGAGTTGCTGCTACCAAGTGACGATTTTTCTCAAGAACTGATTCTAAGATACCTGTAAAATATATCTCACAAAATAATCTTCTGCACAGGACAGTACTAACCAAACTGAGAAGCTTTATCAAAATTGACTTGCCTCGTTTTCAAAGTAATATAGATATTAACAATATTTTGAAATGTTTAAAATTAAAATGTTAGTAGAGGCCACATGAATCCTCTGGAATAATCATGTTGTTATATATAAGCAAACACAATAGATAACTCACTATTTAATAGACCAAGAACAGTTGGTACTTGTAATAATAACAGTCTATGTAATTCTTCCTTTCTAGCCATACTTAAATCTTCTCTTGGTGCTGCTAGTTCTTCTGATGATGTTTGTAATAATAATACACCTAATGTTACTGTTTCTGTTTGTTGTACTAACTATATATATATAATATAAACAATATGCTATCAACATAACTATACAGACTTATTTAACAAAAACAGTGTTACCTGGAGGATATATACCATAGACAGGTATGAAATTATTATGTTCATTTGCATAAGACATATAATTACCATTGACTTGTTGGATCATTAATATAATACCAGTATATCTATAAAACAATATTCTCTATGCAAGTTCCTGCTACTAAATTATTGCTTATCCATAATACAAACCATTACATGCTTTTTTCACTATTATCCGCTTTTATTCGTATTTCAAGTAATAATAAATTAAGTATTCAAACTGCTCAAAGGAATGATGTAGCTGCTAACCTGTAGTATGCTTGGGAAAAAATCAGGATAAAAATGAGGCCAGTCAATTCTACCAATATCAACAACTAGTTTTACAAGTTTATTCCTTATGTAAGAAGGAACAATTGAGTGTTGTTCTAACAAGAAACGGTTTAAAGTATTCCTTAGTTCCATTTTATCACTACCATCAAATCCCAACCATTGTCTGTTTACTGCATTCTGAAAAATAGATGTGCATCTTCACATTATATTTAATTATAACTAAATTACAATAATGTTTTGTTGAAGATACATCATGTAAGAGTTAGATAAAGAACTGGCCGTAATTGCTATAATAGTTAAACAAAAATAGATAATGCAAAATGAATAAATTAAAAATTTCATTCAAATTACTCTATTCTGAACAAAGTTATCAATATTTGTAGTTTTGACAAGATATGTGCATTGATTGTTTATTGTCGTAAACACGGTGGTGGTTATTTGGGGCTTACTCTCACTTCTCCATTTTTAAATTAAATCATTAAATGGCTGACCCATTTTATTCTACTTAAAATCGGAGCCATCCGATGGCATTGAGAGATGATTATGGTATTGTCGTGTTAATAAATGTCTAATTAATAATTCATATAACATTTAAGGCCTAAAGACAGACCTGAAATAATGCCTCTTTATGTGGATCGTTAAAAACTTTCATTCATGAACTGCAGCCTAGTACATACCTTTTGGTTTGTTAGGCAATAATTGTATTTAAAAGACTGTTGCTAATGGTAAGTCAGTATTATAGACTGACAGTTGGTCTGCCGATAGAAAAAAATCCTTGGTGTATTCCATCTTTTATCCCATATATTCATGTTTCAAATTAAATATCCAATGTGAGTGATATCATTAATATGATCTAAATGATTATTTAAAAACAGACAAATATTTTTCTACTGTGCTCTTTATCGAAAAATATTGATATACAGTTATCTTGTATTTTTGCAATACTAACCTCAAGTAAACTCAGACAAAACATGATAACATATTCATTCTGTGTTTTTGACATAAAATATAGACAATGCTTCCACGATTCCTTTGTCTGTCCGAAGTTATTCAACAAGGCTTCTGAAATACAAACAAACATTAAATTTCAAAAATATTAAAAAGTTAAATTAAAAAAAATTTCATAGAATCAAATCACATTCTAAACCATTCCATGTAGATTATGTATAGGCTAACCTAAAATATTTTTAAAATGTTTCTGAGAAAATAGGTAGCTGCCATGCCTGAGCCAATCAAAGCTCTCAAAGACTTTGGAATATAGAAGGCCCCCATACCTTATAATTCATTGTATGCTATATAAAAGATGTATATCTAAAGACATAATCAATTTACCAATTTCTCTCTTTCTTTCATTACTTGTTCTACCATCAAAGAATTCTGTCATTAATGCTTCTAAAGCTCTTAGTGAACTTTCATCTGATGCCTGAAATCATTTCATTAATTGTCATGATTTGATATATATACATGTATCAGAATAAAAAAGTAATTAACTAGACATATTTTTAACGTTTTATGTACAGACACCATTTGCTGATTTGAGTTTTGATATTTAAATGTTAATGTCTCATCAAACCCAATTCTTTTGAGACGAAAAAATCGTAAATTTCATTTATATGGTTAGGCCTTCTTTGCATTACTTCATACTTTTCTGTGATTTCATACTTTTACGTGCACACCAATGTATGGTGGGCCACAATTTTATATCTCAACTACAAGACATTAATAGGCCTACTTAAAAATTTTCATCTCTCCGTGGGTAGTCGTAACTTTCCATCAATAAACAATCTGTGATGTCCTTTTGTTCATAGAAATACAGACTAGAATATGAGTAGAAGGTCTAAAATGATGTCACAGATTGTTTATTGATGGAAAGTTAGGACTACTCACAGAGAAACTCAGAAAGGTGGAAATTACTAAAAAATCTGACTAAAGTTGAAATTTACATGTTGCAGCAGGTAATATTGAAATTCGGGTTCGTCGAAAGGATATGTTGACATAATTACTTGCATTATTTTAAAAAAAGTTTGAAGCTTTTCCGGTGACCTTTAGGTATCCAAAATGCTTCTCAACTTAATCATATCTGATATCGTCTCTCCCCACCCTTGAGTGTTGAGGCCTTGACAGTTGTCTGAGTTGACTCAAACCCATTATTTGTGTGAGCATTTCTTGTAAACAAGCCCAAATCAATCTAATTACGTTATTTTGGGATTGGTATAAAAAAAATGACAAATTGTGCAGATATCATAATACTAAATTACCATTATTCTGTTATTTTACTAAAGATATTGTGATTTTATAGATTTAGCAAAAGTCACATTTTCTCTGAACGGCCATAATGGAAATTGAATTGTGGGATGTTTTTCTCAAAATTCTGACAGGTGCTTTTGATGCTTGTCTAACTGTTCCTATTTGTTCCATGTATCCTATCCTTTTTATTATTATAATTATAGTTAGTATACTAAGTTTGAATTGTGACCATTCTTTGAATTTATACTCTTGCGGGAGACATCTTAAAGATTGAACCACGGCCGATTTATCTCCGTTGGCTAGGCGAAATGGCGGGCCGATTTTGACCAAAGACCCAAGTCGGACAGAGTTTACGTCATTTCCGCTGTGAGGAAATGGAAACCGAAACTAGGAAGCTGTACGACAGGTGACGCGACATTTGTATTGCGATTAATATTATGCTTATAGATCTGATAGGCCAACTCCGTTGCTTGACAATCTGTAAATGTTTAACGCTGATTTGTATTTTATCGCTCTGTTTAATTTTTACTCAAAATATCTATTACCCTAAAAAAGAACAAAGTAAATATACATCATCATCAAAAACGGGGAAAACGGCCAGCAAATCTGAGTCTATAAGTACTAGTACTACAACGGCAGGAAAGGGTAGTAACGGTAAGTATAAAACCCGAAGATGCAGAAGTTCAAGAAAACTCATGACAGTCTCCTTGTGTCAGTTCTATCACAGGAGTCTGACCTTCTATCCGTATATATATGCATACACCATGTCCAACCAGACAATCTTATCTATTTTGTTTTTCTTGTTTTGATATGGTACTTTAAGGCCCCCCGAGAATATATTTTTATGTTGCCTCCGTATTATAATGTACATTGTCTTGTACCCTGTAAAAGAGTATGACTATTTATAGTTGTGACAGTCTGTTATGTTTTCATGTCTGTAGCGGTGATTTGTATAGGTTTCAGCACATAATGATAATGCATATATATATGTCTTCATATCTGAGACAGTGAAGGAGTGAAGGAAATAATGCCCACTGGACTGGGCATTTACAAATAAACACTATCTCCAGACCCTAGTTAGTCAGCACATTTTTCACAAGAATTTCATAATCGTTGTTTTAATTCACCCCAGTCGTGTCCTATCAGTTAATAAAAGTGGCAAGATAAGTAATTCTTGTTACTGTGCATGTTTTAATTTCAGATATGTTACAACGTTATAAAGCTGCAATGGTGTTAAGTGGTGCAGGTGACGCCATTGGTTACAATAGAGGTAGATGGGAATTTTGTAAGGATGGTCTTCAGATACATGAAGAGTTAAAAAAAATGGGTGGTCTTAATAAAATCAATGTTGCAGGTAAACACATTATTCTTGCAGCTTTCTGAGAACTAAACACAAACATAGTTTGTGCTGTCTCTGTGAGTCTGGTGTTTACTCAAGAGATTCTTAATAAAAAACACAACACAGTTTATATGGAAAGACAATCACTGGTTTATAAGTACAGCACGATTTTTCGACAAGTATTCTCTTATCGTTATCAAGCACAAATACTTATAAACCAGTGATTGTATTTCCATATAAACAGGCATCGATATTTCCGCGCACATGCGCACGGTGTGCGCAGGCACATTTGCTTTAAAAAAAACTTTTTTGCAGGCACATTTTTAAAGATGTAGCCATTTTTTTGCCGCCCAGCACAAAGAAAAAATCGAAGAAAGCCGCCCAGTCGTATTTAAACCCCTTCGTCCTTCTCTGTACACAAACTCGGCGCTCGAAATTTACCACAGCAATTAAACGGCAAAGCCATGGTAAAAGCGGACGTACGTAAACCATGTCTGTCAGTGTCACGGCATAATTTATTTTTGTGTGCCGTAGTAGACCCTATCATCCCAAATTAGTTTAAAGAAAGATGTATTGGTATTTTGTTTATTTAGACTTAGAAGATGTGTAGGCCTCGGTCTATTCATTTTACAATTATTCTACGGTCTTTTTGTTTATTTGCCGTAAGTAGGTCACCCAGACCAATTTACGGCACTCCAATGTTAAAGGTTTGAATGTCGTAATTGTCCAACACGTGCCTGCAAATTTTCACGATGTTTCTTATTTTATTTCTTACCTGTGTTGACCGTGGATTTGCTATGGCCCGAGAGTAGGACTAGGAGGACGATGAGAGCTTTCTCAGTTTTTACCTGACCTGATTCTCATTCCACCGTAATAATAATAATATTCGCGAGACACGTACAACAACTTTACAAACAAGTCAAATAATACAACCTGTTGTCATAATTCGTTGTAATTGTCCAACACGTGCCTGCAAATTTTCACGATGTTTCTTATTTTATTTCTTACCTGTGTTGACCGTGGATTTGCTATGGCCCGAGAGTAGGACTAGGAGGACGATGAGAGCTTTCTCAGTTTCTGCCTGACCTGATTCTCATTCCACCGTAATAATAAAAATATTCGCGAGACACGTACAACAACTTTACAAACAAGTCAAATAATACAACCTGTTGTCATAATTCGTTGTACTCAAATAAAACACAAACACTGTTTTAAGAATCGTTTTAATTTTAATCTCAAAGTAATAAAATAATATTTGAAAAAAAACCCAACAAAACAAATACCGTAAGGTCCTCAACTTATCTATCCAGAGAAACAGAGTGGGGCGGGACAATTTTATGCTCGGTCGGGTGGTGTCAAATAGTTTTTAGATCCCTGTATTATTGATGAAAATTAAGTGATTTTGGTAAAATTTAAATATATATATGGAAATATGATTTGCACTGAATACAAAAGGCAGCAGATGCTCTGAAAATACACCAAGAAGGGTTTAATTTTCATAAAAGACCACGCCCCCCCACTCCCAAAAATTTGTTTGCCTCGCTCCGCTCGCCAAATATATTTTTACACCACTCAACTTTTATAGAGCCCAGCATATAAACTGTGTTATGTTTTTAATGTGTTCAATCGCTAAATGCCACTCAAGGATTAGATTCTTAATAATCATAATTGTAACTGCTTGTAAATACTGTGCTCAGAACCAGAGATGGCACCCACACAAAAAGCATGTGGATCAATAGAAAACACTGAGCAAACAGGAGCATTGTCCAACAACGAGAACATTCATAATAAATCTCTCAAAATAGTTTGACCTTTTTAATGAGTATTATTACTTTCGGGGAAGAAGTAATAAAATATTGCGTCACATAGCTATATTCACACACTATTAAAGATACTAAATTTTTCACAACGCCTATATTAAAATTGTTGCTGTTTGTTGGTTACTACTATTTTTATATTTACAGAACAAACAGAGGGAAATAGATATAAATGGTTGGTTAGTGATGATACAGTGATGCATCTAGCTACAGCTGAAGGTACAGTCTTAATGGAAACGGTTCATCTTTAGATCCAATATAACAAAACAAACCAAGCGTAAAATAAGCAATACATAGGACTAGTATCAAAAAAAATGTCGAAAGTTGCATCACAATTTTTTGCACAGCTTTTTCAAACTTTTAATTATCTGTAATTTTGTCAATTTTGGTTTCAATACTGTCTGTTCTTGTCGGTGATTATAATAGTACCCACTTTCATTAATTGAGTAATTCATTTAAAAATGACAATATTTCATTATGAGTAAATCTAAAATATATTTTCAATTTTATATTTTTATTTCAGCTCTATATGAAAATGGTGATTTGGAAAAAACATTGCGTAATATAGGTGATAATTACAAAAAATGTATGCAGGATATGTCCGGTAGAGCACCAGGTATTAAATTATTTGTACAACGGTAATTGATTAAATACTTTCATGTTAGTCCAACATGCATAGGGAAAAGAAATTTAAGACAGTTGGTATACTTAATATGATATTAAGATTTTAGAAATCCATGTGAATCTGTGGAATAAAATTTCTCATTAAAATGCTTATTTCTCAGACTCAATTTCATTTTAACATATTGTATTTAATGAGGGCCAAAATTCACATGCTGTTCGGCAATAAATCCAGGAAATAATCATATTAAACAGCATAGACCTCATTAAGAGGCATGAGTAACTACTCGTGTAAACGCTATACTTGCCTGAAATTTAATTTGCGAAAGAAAAGCATTACTCAGGCAAAAATTTCTTGAAACTTTTCATAGAAATCTACAATTCTTTAATAAAATTTTAAAACACTCTAATTTACAGACTGTACAGTTGTTTCGTATACAATGCGACATCTCGATTTATAAAATTATCTGTTATTAAACTGCATGTCTGTTCTGCTGTTGACATCGTTTATTATCTGATTATCAGGTCTCAAATCCCTTTCATCTTCTTTTCCACATAAAATTAAATTATATAGATACAGTACATCTAATATTTCTTTGTGATGTCGGATGATTATTTTATATTGATAATTTTGTTGGTATTTTGTGCTTTCTGAATTGTTTTTGATTGGGAGTGCGTAAATAAATTTGATATTTCATTTAAAATATCTAATGTGTATTGTGTGAGTGTCTTGATAAATGGGAACATGGGCTGGGACCGGAAGTTTGTTTCACGTCACGGTTGCTAGCTATCCAGCCAGAAGATTCATCAGGTTTCGTCCGAAATTCTAAGATTTTCAAATGTGCCAAATGTGCCAAAGGGCAGAGACGTATCCCTGAAAATCTTCTTATAAAGAGGAATATGACCCCTAACAACAAGAATTTTACATTAATCACGTATAGTCCATATACTATTATTTTCTCATTCAGCCAAAATATATTTGACAAAATATTCTTTTATTATTCTTTATTAATCTAATCTAGTCACCCACATAACTACTTTTTCTTTTAAGAATTAGTATGACTAAAAGTTCAAGTATTGAATTACTAATTGCGTGAGTAATTAAGTATTCACTCGGTGTTTCTTTGTGGCAAGCACTTCAGCAAATATATTAGGAAATGAAACAGGGTTTAAGATCTTACTTTCTGCTCTGACTGGGCTAATGAAGACAGGCATACGCCAGACAGAGTACTATGAGGTAAGTTCTGCCTGGACAGCGTCACTACAGTGTACTCGTATCCGAAAGACTATACGTTTTCTCTTTTTTCCCACTCAATTTTCAGTGTTTTGTTGCTTAAATATGGAAACTGGTCTTTCAAAGAAGTGTCAAACTTGATACTACTTTAACATTTTATTTAACTACAGGTCCAACTAGTATGACTGGAGCCCAGATATGGAATCCTAATAGTGAGAAAAGACGAGTTCTTGCATTTGATCCTAGGTATGATATTCTTGTTCACAATTTTTGTAAACACTCTACACATTACATTGATCATCTGATTGTTTTGAAATTGATATATGTTGTTTACACCAGCAAGATGAAGAATCCTATTGAATTTCAATAATTTTGGTTAATTTCTTCTGGAGTTATGGCCCTTGTTTCACTTTGTTGAACCAAGTGAATGCTCTAACGACAAAAGTTATCATCCGATCTGTATGGATTTTATATGCATCATTTAAATTAGTAAGACGAGGAAGCCAATTGAATTTCAACAGTTTCCGTTAATTACATCTAGAGTTATGGCCCTTGTTTCACTTTGTAAAAACTTGTGATTGCTCTAACAACAAAAGTTATCATCCGATCTTTATGAAATATATATGCATGATTTCGGTTAGTGAAACAGAGAAGCAATTTCTGTTAATTTCTTCTAGAGAATGAAGTTGATAAAGGGTAGCCTTAATAGAGCATATAAAGGATGTGTTTATAAAATTAAATTTAATTACTTTCATTATTAAAATTTACTAAAAATGCAAGAGAAATTTACAAGTTTCGTATAAAATAATGATATAACAAGATACTTGATGTCGCAATCGATCTATATTTAATAACTTATATATCATTTTTGTCCTTTAAAACTACCAGCAGCAGGCTAAAATACATTATTTTTATCCAATCGGACCTAGGCCTTGCGAGTTTCAACTATTATCTAATTAATCCTTATGTGAAATGGACATTTATCTTTTAAGATTTATGACATTGAATTGATGGATATTTTCAGGGGTGGTGGATGTGGTGCTGCTATGAGAGCTATGTGTATAGGATTACGTTATCCAAGGTACATTTCCATTAAAAAAACAATTAAACAATGCACCAGACTAAGAATAGATAAGCAGTCAGTTTGATAGCTGGATGCTTTTCAATAATAATAATACTGTTTTGCTCCGAACTGGGCTAATGAAGACGGGCATATGCCATACAGAGTGCTATGAGGGAAATTTTTCCCGGACAGCGGCACTATGGCCTGCTCTTATATCGAATTGCAACTGTCAAGGTATCTTTTACGTGCACGCCAATGTGTACACAGGACCTCGGTTTTTCGTCCCATCCGAGCGACTAGATAGGGGGGGGGGGGGTAGATGGCCGAATGGTTAGCATGTGCGCGCTGTATCATAAGGCCTGTCATTGAGTCAACTAGCTTTGTTTCGAATCCCCGGTTGTACGTGACAAGGAGTAGGGTTGCCTGTCCAATAGGGCTGGGTAAAATATCGATATAAATCGATAGTATCGATTGGACGGCCCAGAAAAGCACTATCGATAGCGGTGGGTTACTGTCGATTATCGCTCTTCGTCTATTTTTCTTGCTTCTGAAATGTCAATGTTTTCTTTCAGTTAATCATAATACACCGCTCACTTTAATTACTATCAAGTATCAATGTAACACATAACAAAATTGTGACTGCTTATTGAACAGCCATTTTCATAAATTCACTCTCATTGAAACGTTACTTTAGTTTTGAAGAAATTATTGTTGAATATCGCTAAATCGGAGATACCCGGATGTGTAAATAAAGTTAGAGTTATTTCCCTTTGCAAGCTTCAGAATTCGTCTGCCATATTGATATTTTCGCGCACACGTACGCAATGTTTTGAATCCGAACAAGTTCATTTTGGTTGGTCCCTTAACATAATTATTTACGATATTTCTTCATTCGGAACCACGTCTGCATTATTTTAATAATTTACGTATATATACGTGATATAACAAGTTTTATTAATGTTTTCCAAATAAATCTCCTTAGACAGGAGCAGATAAACGATCTTTCGCAACTTCGTATGGTTTTGAACTTTGAACTTACACTGTATCCAGTCTTGATGACGACCGTGAAAATAAGTTTGTTTTCGATACTATCGATTATCGACCGACATTTCATTGCCGATTATCGATAGTAAAAATCACTATCGATACCCAGCCCTACTGTCCAACCTAGTGGGTTTTCTCCAGTTCCTCCGGTTTCCTCCCACTGCTAAAGACCCCTACGTGCAAGTGAATTAAACCATATGTTAGTCCCGAAATGACCTGGTTTGTGTCGAGTGGACGTTAAACTCTATTTCTCTCTCTCTCACGACTAGACAACTGTCCTTGTCAGGCCTTCCGTCCTGCATCACTGACAAGGGGGAACCACGCCAGAAAATCTGGATGAACTTTCTCAGCCAATGCAGGGATCGAACACCCGACCTCCAGGCTAGCGAGCCAGCTCTTACCCACTTAGCCACTGTGATCCCCAATGTGTAATCAATATGTGCAATCTGTTTATTTTGGGATTGAAACAGGATTGTATTGTTTATAATAATTAGCTCATAACTATTTGAAGAGCTGTGTCTGCTGGCGGGTGTGTGTTCTGTTGCCTGTGTGCACAATAACAAACATTAAGAGCTAAATCTTCCAAATGCAGGTCTTTCTTTTGGCCTCAAATGTTATATAGATAATTAATTAGACATTTATTCACATGACAAGCCCATAATCAACTCTCTAGATAATCAGAAAGGGTGTTATTTTGAATGGATTGAAATACATTGAAATTTAATAATCTTATTTAAAAAGGGATAATTTCGACTTTGTTTATTATCATAACAATTTTAGTAAGGAAAATCAAGACTATGCAGTTCTTACCTTCAACATTCATAACTTCAGTAATTTGACTGAAATGTTCAATATATTCATTTTTTATGCGTCCACATGGAATTGTGGTCGTATATTACCGTCTGTACGTCCATATATGTACGTCCACAGTTTCTTGTGAACATTCTACAGGCTACATTTATAATCTGATTGTTTTGAAATTGATATATGTTATTTACATCAGTGAGACAAAGAAGTCTATATAATTTCAATATGACCTGGAGTTATGCCCTTGTTTCACTTTGTGAACCTTGTGAACGCTTTAATGACAAACGTTATCATCCAATATCTATGAAATTGATATGCATCATTTTTATTAGTGAAAAGAAGAATCCTATTGAATTTCAGCAATTCCCATTAATTATCTCTAGACTTATGGCCCTTGTTTCACTTTGTTGAACCTTGTGAATATTCGATTAACAAAAGTTATCATCTGATCTCTATGAAATTTCATTATTTAAATTAGTAAAACAAAAATGCCTTTCGAATTTCAACAATTTCTGTTCATTACTTCCAGAGTTAAGGCCTTTGTTTCAGTTTGTAGAACCTTGTGAATGCTCAACCGATGAAAATTATAATCTGAACTGTGTGAAATTATTTTGTAAATTGCCCCAATTACCTAGAAAAAAAATGAATATGCGACAACCCTTGTTGACCACTCTAGACGATTTAACTGCTGTGGGCGCATGTTTCGTTGCCTGGCAACCTATCTTCATTATCTATTTTTAAACTATTATTTCTAGAACTGGTAGCTCTGTATTTTTATCTTGCATAATGCATCTTTAAGCTACACCATTTAAAAGTGTTAGGTGTTGGACTCTAATGACACCGTAGCTGAACTGATTGGCTCAACCTGACATCTGCTTTCATTTTGCACCATAATGTTTTGATGTTAATAAGTTACTGCATTACTGCATTCATACAAACAATTAAAATATGCAATGTTTCTCCTCTTTTGTTAAATAATTTCTTTGATATTATTTATTTGCCAAAAACTGTTTGTCCAACCACAAAGATGTATGATATCAACTTTGGCTTCCATCAAAAGAAAGCATTCATTTTAATTGAGTTTAACTATTTTTTATGTTTAATCAAAGAATGTTATTTATAGAGTAGAAGATGAAAATAATTTAATAGCTATAAGTATTGAGAGTGGTAGAATGTCACATCATCATCCAACTGGTTATCTAGGAGCTTTAGCATCAGCTTTATTTACAGCTTATAGTGTCCGAGGTTTGTATTGTAACTTTATTTAATATTCCATACTCCTCTTTCTGTGTAGTTTGCCTGAAGGGAGAAATCATTGATATATTTCAAAGATATAACAGGAGAATTCTGTGTGGAATAACTGTCTGAATCTCACAGAGGTTAGAAACATGGATTAATGTCCTACTTTTCTGCTCCATATGGGCTAATAAAAATGGGCATATGCCCTTCAGTGTGCTATTAGGAGAATTTTGTCCAGAGAGCAACCCAGTAGCATATTGTTATTTCGATTTCCAATTGTCATGGGTTCTTTACCATTGGAAAGAGTAGTTGCTGTTCATTGTCAGGCCCTTTGTGCTGCACCACTGTCAAGGAGAAACTCTTTCAGAAAATCCCAAGGATCTTTCTTGGCCAGCACTGGGATTGAACCTGAGACATCCAGATTAGCAAGCCAGCACCTTACTCACTGAGACACCACAGCTTCACCAGAAATTCCCCTTCGAATGAATAGTACAAAGAAACTTAGTAAATATTTAATTGGAAATCTATAAGTAGTGGGTAGCTGTCCCAGATTTCTCTCATGAAACTACTAATTTCGTTCTTGTGGAAGTTAATATCCGATTGAGTTTAGATTTATACACGATGAAGCCTATTGATTTTCAACGATTTCTGATAATTACTGCCAGAGTTATGGCCCTTGGTCACTTTGAAATATCTTGTAGACGCTCTAGAGCCTGCAGTTAGTATCCGATTGACTTTAAATTTATACACAGTGTTTAACATCATGGGACAAAGAAGCCTATTGATTTCCGATGATTACTGCCAAAGTTATTGCTCTTGATCACTTTGAAATATTCTGTGGGTGCTCTAGAAGCTGAAGTTAATATCTGATTAGTGTGTTGTAAATGTTTTCATTACCAACAAAAGAAAAAATGTGTGAGGATGACTTTGCTGCTGTGGGTGTATGTTTTGTTGCCTTCCAACCAGTCTTTGTAATATTAGAAATCGTCGCGGGATGGACACAGCTAACATAAATTAGAACTTGTCCATACATTTAGTCAACCATCAGACTAAGTCTAAAACTGCTATTTCGCAAACTTTTGCTGTCGGGTTTTGTGATCGAAAAGTGATAAAAACTACTACCAATAGTTATCTTAATAAAGTTTTGAATTTGCCATATGTACATCACCTATCATAATGCGAAAAACTGGTTGTGGCTCTAGTTTGAGGAACAGATCGACTCATTGTAACAGGCTTCCTCATTGTTAATTTCAGAAAAGGAATAAGTCCTGACGATCTGTCACGTATATCCTCAGCTCATTTGCAAGTAATATCCCCGAAGTTTCACATCATTTGGAAGGAACTACTGTCTAAAAAGATTTGCTCACAAGAGCAAGCTGATCAACCCTATGCAGGGATCCGCAAACGAGTGGCGTGTTGGTCTCTTATTTATTCTAACAATTTGTCAAAAGAGACTGATACCTGCATCAAATTAGACCAAAATATATATTTCTTTATTTGTACAACTTAAAAGAAATCTCTGTCACCATGTTTCAAAATGCCAGAGTAGAAATATGGTCTACCTACTAGCTTTCTCCCTATGTTAAATATAACACGTGGGGGAGAAAGAAAACATGTTTTTTTTTTCAAAGTGAATAAAAGAACCAAAATCGGTTGAAAATTTCAACCATACGTTTTAATCTCAAAGGACAAATAATTGAGCTTATTAAAACTTATTATTATAGAGACAAAAATATGTCATTTGGAAAGTATTTGAACCAAACTGGATTCATACTTCAAGAACTATCCCTATGGATAGCTCAACAATAAGATTTAGTTCTGAAGGGTTCCTTTTCTCTTTGTTTACATCAGTAAATATTTAATTACTAATAGTTAATTTATATTAGGTAAAGAATTAAAGGAATGGGGACATGGTTTAATGGAGATGTTACCTAGAGCCTTAAAATATGTTCAAGAGGCTGGTCATAGCGTAAAAGAAAATGAACTTGCTTGGTATGTTGGTTCCTTATCTTATTTCTTAATCAGGTGAACTAATTCTGTACTGAATCATTTTTTCAGTAAACATAATCCATATACATGGTAATCTATTGAAAATATTTTAATTGGAACTTTATGATGTATAATGATTATATGCTTTGAAACTATGCCTTGTAACACAGTTTTTTTAAGCCTCCTCATGCCAGAATAGTCACAAAATCCAACCATTCTTCATGAAGGGTTTTTTTTTTGCTTGTATGTGCTTAATTTGTTGTGCCTTTAAGAAATGAAATGAAATGAATTGGGATTTAACATCCAACTGTTCTGCTACGAACTGGGCTAATGAAGACGGGCATATGCCATACAGTGTGCTATGAGGGAAATTTTTCCCAGACATCGGCACTACGGCCTACTCTTATATCAAATTCCAACTGTCAAGGGGTCTTTTACGTGCACGCCAATGTGTACATGGGTCCTTGGTTTTCCGTCCCATCCGAACGACTTAGACAGTTGTCCTTGTCCTGACCTCCATCCTGCATCTGTGACAAGGGGGAACCACGCCAGGAAATCTGGATGAACTTTCTCGGCCAGTGCAGGGATCGAACACCCGACCTTCAGACTAGCGAACCAGTGTCTTACCCACTCAGCCACCGTTATCCCCTGTGCCTTTTAGCAAAATTAGATAGCTATTTTTATGCTTGGTTGATTCGGCAGTCGAGTCAACCTTGAAACAAAGTTTTAATATTTAGGAAAATATTTTGACAATTCAGAAATTAAGCACAATTCTAGAACCAAATTATAGGAAATTTTAGAAACTTATATCATTACTCATCCTCTTGTAAAAATCTACTTGTCTAGCACATCTCTGACTCATAATATTTTCTTATTTTGTAATAACATGTAGCCCTACGACAGATCTCACTACCCATGTCGGTTTCAATTCGGAATGAGTTAGATACAGTGCGTCTGCTTCAAAATAACACAGTTTGGCTTCAAATATTTGCAGGAATGAAAATAAATCATTTGGAGATCGATGGAGGAATTATCTACGGGATCGTAAGATATTAGATGGTAAAAGTGAACCAGTATTTCCTGAGAATTATGATGTGAAACAGCGAGATGAATTTTACAGATCTGTTAGTTACAGTGGTTGGGGTGGAGCTAGCGGCCATGATGCTCCTCTTATAGCGTAAGTAAATGAAATTAAAGCTTTTGGAATTTAGCTCATAATTTGATACTAACAAATCATCAACTACTAAGATCATATCTAATGAATCATTCAATAAAGTGTGGAGAATTACACAATAGACAGTTCAAGCTAGTATGTATCAGATATTTGGTTAGTTATATTAGCTTAATTATATTCTTTCATGAAGAATGAGACCCCGTTATTATGCAGTCATGATGCATTAGAGCTGTAAAAATTTCTTTAATAATCTCTCATATAATAAGGAAATATTTTGAGTGCCCACGTTCAGATTTGTCATTGATTCCATGTATAGTCATTTTTTTTAACGTTTGAAACAGTGTAATTGAACATGGTGCCCAACGAAGTTAATATATTTAGGTACGGGTTAGTACCAAATAGTTTAAATCTATGACAGTTAAGATTTGGACTAAATGAATGGGAAATTGAAAGTTTGGGGGGCGACTTGTATGTGTCTCTCTTTTGTTGACCGAGTTGAGATAATTGTCCATTAAATTAACTGAACGAGTAGGCCTGTCATCGTTTGGTTATTTGTCTTTCTTGAGTGTGTGGCTTCTTTCAACCTTTCTGGACAGGTTTGACTCTATGGTATCTGTTGTGATTGAAAGAGTAAATGTTTTTTAGTTGAGAGAATATCTTTCATCAAAGTGGTGGTAGAATCCAAGGCAAAATGGGAACTGACCGATTTAATCACAAAATTAACTATAGTTGGCAGAGAGTGAGAGAATATAAGAGATAGGGATTGGCTATTAAGACCTTGTTATCCCGAGTGTTAGTGACTAGTTTCGTTCATATTGAACTCTTGAGACTGAGTAGGGTTTCCATGATCACAAATTGGCAGGGTTACTGGGGTTTACGAATTTATTACCGGGGTTGGTAGCTGGCTTATTGGAGTTGTACGGAGATTTAGATATACATGTATTTGAATTTTCTTTGATCTGTTTTTCAGATATGACAGTATTTTATTTGCTAAAGATGACTGGACTGAATTAGCGAATCGGTATGGATATATTTTAATGCTTTCTTTTCCAACCCATTCTCTCAGTAATTTTTTGGCAACACAAATATGTATTGATATATATCTCTACATGAAAATAACGGTAGCTCCACGTTATTTAATATAAAAAATACTCATAAGTTTGGTTTATAGTAAGCTGTTGATAGGGGTTGCATGCAGGGACGGACTTACTTTACTTATGGGTATTTTAGTTCGATAGTTTTCCATATAAGATATTCACTTACTATTTACTTGAATTTTATTTTCGTTTTATAGATTCATTGTTTACTCCTTAATATCTATATCTATAAATTGCAAAGTGTATTTTTTAACAGAGCGTTCTTTCATGGTGGTGATAGTGATAGTACTGCTGTAATGGCTGCCTGCTGGTTTGGAGCTCTTTATGGTTACAAAGGTGTACCAGAATCAAATTACAAGGTAAACAGAATTGGTACAATTTAGTGCCACTAGATTTAGATGTGCTGTATATTCAGGTGAGCTTTCTGGAATCCAGTTGTTAATAATCCCATTAAAGGGAGAAATAAATACCAGATCAGTGTGCAACAAAACATAAGAAAAGTAAATATATGATACATCAGCTACATTCATGACAGTATCTACATGATGTTTGATTTTAGCATATTACTATTGGGGCCGGATATCTGATCTTGCTTAACTACTATCATTTAATGCAATTTAGAATATTTGGAACTCACAATTGGTTATCCCTAAAATGTGAGAAAATGTTTCAAGGGAAACAACTGTAATTCTTTTCATAACAGACCTCCAAATATTTCACAGTATGTGCCAGTTTCTTGTTCTGATGCTTGTATGAGTTTGGCCATTTTGGGATACACAAATTGAAAGTACCAGTTACTACAAAACCACATTAACCGCTTATATTTCCTCCCCAATATTAAGAATATCCACCCAAACCTGGCAAAATATGAAGATCAATTATTCACCTTCTACAATACCAGACCAAATAGTCAAAAATAAAAAGAAGATGAAAATGGGGAGTGGGCGAGGAATGAAGAGATACTTTAAGCAACAGGAACTTAGTTGGTAAGCCATTGATGTGATTTCTGCAATGATTAACAAATCTAATGTTCTAGGTTTGGGTGAAAACATTTCCTTGTTCTTACTCCTTTTCAGGGTCTTGAATATCAGTCCAGATTAGAAAAAGCTGGGGAAATTCTGTACAAATTATCTCACCCTGAGCCTGCAGCAGCACCAGATTCACAATTATCTTACCCTGAGCCTATGGAAACACCAGATTCACTATCATCTCAGCCTAAGACTGCAGAATCACAAGATTCACAATCTGAGCCTGTAAAAGAACCCGAATCACAATTATCTCAGCCTGAGTCTGCAGCAAAACCAGATTCACAATCTGAGCCTGTAAAAGGTTCACAGTTATAATAATATCATTTACAGTGATAATATTATCATCTACAGTTATAATATTATCATCTACCTAGAAAATTATAATATTAGGCTACACAAAATAAATGTCTTGTTTCTCGGGCAACTGACAGCTGAAACTGTAGGGGGGGAGGGCGGTTTATTTTTTTTTTTATCTCATTTCTGGCTAGAGGATGGTGCAAAATAAAATTTGCCTATTGTTGAAAATTGTTGGGGCGGGAGGGCGGCCTTGTATTTTTTTTATTTTTTTAATGAGAAAGTCATTACTTGTCTACGGTTTTGCTTTCAGTTATATATTATACATACACACTGACTGAAAGGAAAATAATTTTCCATATTTAATTCACGTAATGTAGCTTACTAATGGTAATGGTGACAACCATAATTGAAATTGGTTTAAAATAAAATCCCGTACAACTATTAATAGCCGTCCATAATAACGACAATATTTTAAAGAGTAAGCCTCTGTCAGCATGTGTATCAAAAATAATCATCACGGTAAACGACACTTCGATCTAAATCTAGTATCGCTGGTTTATAATGATTGACCTAATTCCAACCAATGGATGTCACGTGTCATCGGGATTCGTGAAATGACTGTTTCTCAGGATATTTGGTGTGTTTCTCAGCATATTCGGTGTTCTATCTGGGGTTTATATCGAATGACTATTTAAATTTAACTAACAACTCGTCAGTAAAACCATCAAATGTGTAATCCAATTATTATTTTCCGGATTATCAAAACTACCGTTAAACGTGCTAATGACCCAGATTCTGACTAAGGTATGGTGACTATCATCGTATCGTATTCGTAGCCACAAGTTATAATAATTAACCTGTTCTACGATTCATTGTTTTATAAGTAGGATTTTTTCAAACATGGACCGACTGAAGCCGGCAATAATGAGCCGATTAAGATCGAATGATTGAAATACATTGCATTGTTGTCAATGACTTTCGGTGTTTAACACGAATCAAATTCTAGTTCACAAGGGGAGGTAATTAAAATCACGTGATACAAAAATAGAGGTTCTTTCGATATCAATAAAAAAAAGACCCGTAAATGAGCGTTTACATCTGAATCAGTTTCATACATTTGAATGGATATTCACGAATGGGGCATGTAGATACATGCGGCATATTTTTTTTATGACTTGCTTATCGATGTTCGGGCGGGCGTTACATATTTTTTATTTTTCATCAAGACTAATAAATAGGCCGCACGCGCAACCAATTTTGCGTGCGGGCGGTGCCCGAGAAACAACTTATTTTATTTGTGTTGCCTTATCATCTACCAAAAAGTTACAATATTATTATCATCTACCTGGACAGTTATAATATTATTATCTACCAAGAAAGATATAATAATCTACCAAGAAAGTTATAATTTTATTATCAAACAACAAAGTTATTCTAATAGTTTAAATATATTATTTACAAATAAACACTATCTCCAGACCCTAGTTAGTCAGCACATTTTTCACAAGAATTTCATAATCGTTGTTTTAATTCACCCCAGTCGTGTCCTATCAGTTAATAAAAGTGGCAAGATAAGTAATTCTTGTTACTGTGCATGTTTTAATTTCAGATATGTTACAACGTTATAAAGCTGCAATGGTGTTAAGTGGTGCAGGTGACGCCATTGGTTACAATAGAGGTAAATGGGAATTTTGTACGAATGGTCTTCAGATACATGCAGAGTTAAAACAAATGGGTGGTCTTAATAAAATCAATGTTGCAGGTAAACACATTATTCTTGCAGCTTTCTGAGAACTAAACACAAACATAGTTTGTGCTGTCTCTGTGAGTCTGGTGTTTACTCAAGAGATTCTTAATAAAAAACACAACACAGTTTATATGGAAATACAATCACTGGTTTATAAGTATAGCACGAAGTTTCGACAAGTATTCTCTTATCGTTATCAAGCACAAATACTTATAAACCAGTGATTGTATTTCCATATAAACAGGCATCGATATTTCCGCGCACATGCGCACGGTGTGCGCAGGCACATTTGCTTTAAAAAAACTTTTTTGCAGGCACATTTTAAAGATGTAGCCATTTTTTTGCCGCCCAGCACAAAGAAAAAATCGAAGAAAGCCGCCCAGTCGTATTTAAACCCCTTCGTCCTTCTCTGTACACAAACTCGGCGCTCGAAATTTACCACAGCAATTAAACGGCAAAGCCATGGTAAAAGCGGACGTACGCAAACCATGTCTGTCAGTGTCACGCATTAATTTATTTTTGTGTGCCGTAGTAGACCCTATCATCCCAAATTAGTTTAAAGAAAGATGTATTGGTATTTTGTTTATTTAGACTTAGAAGATGTGTAGGCCCCGGTCTATTCATTTTACAATTATTCTACGGTCTTTTTGTTTATTTGCCGTAAGTAGGTCACCCAGACCAATTTACGGCACTCCAATGTTAAAGGTTTGAATGTCGTAATTGTCCAACACGTGCCTGCAAATTTTCACGATGTTTCTTATTTTATTTCTTACCTGTGTTGACCGTGGATTTGCTATGGCCCGAGAGTAGGACTAGGAGGACGATGAGAGCTTTCTCAGTTTTTGCCTGACCTGATTCTCATTCCACCGTAATAATAATAATATTCGCGAGACACGTACAACAACTTTACAAACAAGTCAAATAATACAACCTGTTGTCATAATTCGTTGTACTCAAATAAAACACAAACACTTTTTTAAGAATCGTTTTAATTTTTAATCTCAAAGTAATAAAGTAATATTTGAAAAAAAAAACAACAAAACAAATACCGTAAGGTCCTCAACTTATCTATCCAGAGAAACAGAGTGGGGCGGGACAATTTTATGCTCGGTCGGGTGGTGTCAAAAAGTTTTTAGATCCCTGTATCATTGATGAAAATTAAGTGATTTTGGTAAAATTTAAATATATATATGGAAATATGATTTGCACTGAATACAAAAGGCAGCAGATGCTCTGAAAATACACCAAGAAGGGTTTAATTTTCATAAAAGACCACGCCCCCCCCGCCAAATATATTTTTACACCACTCAACTTTTATAGAGCCCTGCATATAAACTGTGTTAGGTTTTTAATGTGTTCAATCGCTAAATGCCACTCAAGGATTAGATTCTTAATAATCATAATTGTAACTGCTTGTAAATACTGTGCTCAGAACCAGAGATGGCACCCACACAAAAAGCATGTGGATCAATAGAAAACACTGAGCAAACAGGAGCATTGTCCAACAACGAGAACATTCATAATAAATCTCTCAAAATAGTTTGACCTTTTTAATGAGTATTATTACTTTCGGGGAAGAAGTAATAAAATATTGCGTCACATAGCTATATTCACACACTATTAAAGATACTAAATTTTTCACAACACCTATATTAAAATTGTTGCTGTTTGTTGGTTACTACTATTTTTTATATTTACAGAACAAACAGAGGGAAATAGATATAAATGGTTGGTTAGTGATGATACAGTGATGCATCTAGCTACAGCTGAAGGTACAGTCTTAATGGAAACTGTTCATCTTTAGATCCAATATAACAAAAAAAACCAAGCGTAAAATAAGCAATACATAGGACTAGTATCAAAAAAATGTCGAAAGTTGCATCACAATTTTTTGCACAGCTTTTTCAAACTTTTAATTATCTGTAATTTTGTCAATTTTGGTTTCAATACTGTCTGTTCTTGTCGGTGATTATAATAGTACCCACTTTCATTAATTGAGTAATTCATTTAAAAATGACAATATTTCATTATGAGTAAATCTAAAATATATTTTCAATTTTATATTTTTATTTCAGCTCTATATGAAAATGGTGATTTGGAAAAAACATTGCGTAATATAGGTGATAATTACAAAAAATGTATGCAGGATATGTCCGGTAGAGCACCAGGTATTAAATTATTTGTACAACGGTAATTGATTAAATACTTTCATGTTAGTCCAACATGCATAGGGAAAAGAAATTTAAGACAGTTGGTATACTTAATATGATATTAAGATTTTAGAAATCCATGTGAATCTGTGGAATAAAATTTCTCATTAAAATGCTTATTTCTCAGACTCAATTTCATTTTAACATATTGTATTTAATGAGGGCCAAAATTCACATGCTGTTCGGCAATAAATCCAGGAAATAATCATATTAAACAGCATAGACCTCATTAAGAGGCATGAGTAACTACTCGTGTAAACGCTATACTTGCCTGAAATTTAATTTGCGAAAGTAAAGCATTACTCAGGCAAAAATTTCTTGAAACTTTTCATAGAAATCTACAATTCTTTAATAAAATTTTAAAACACTCTAATTTACAGACTGTACAGTTGTTTCGTGTACAATGCGACATCTCGATTTATAAAATTATCTGTTATTAAACTGCATGTCTGTTCTGCTGTTGACATCGTTTATTATCTGATTATCAGGTCTCAAATCCCTTTCATCTTCTTTTCCACATAAAATTAAATTATATAGATACATACAGTAGATCTAATATTTCTTTGTGATGTCGGATGATTATTTTATATTGATAATTTTGTTGGTATTTTGTGCGTTCTGAATTGTTTTTGATTGGGAGTGCTAAAATAATTTGATATTTCATTTAAAATATCTAATGTGTATTGTGTGAGTGTCTTGATAAATGGGAACATGGGCTGGGACCGGAAGTTTGTTTCACGTCACGGTTGCTAGCTATCCAGCCAGAAGATTCATCAGGTTTCGTCCGAAATTCTAAGATTTTCAAATGTGCCAAATGTGCCAAAGGGCAGAGACGTATCCCTGAAAATCTTCTTATAAAGAGGAATATGACCCCTAACAACAAGAATTTTACATTAATCACGTATAGTCCATATACTATTATTTTCTCATTCAGCCAAAATATATTTGACAAAATATTCTTTTATTATTCTTTATTAATCTAATCTAGTCACCCACATAACTACTTTTTCTTTTAAGAATTAGTATGACTAAAAGTTCAAGTATTGAATTACTAATTGCGTGAGTAATTAAGTATTCACTCGGTGTTTCTTTGTGGCAAGCACTTCAGCAAATATATTAGGAAATGAAACAGGGTTTAAGATCTTACTTTCTGCTCTGACTGGGCTAATGAAGACAGGCATACGCCAGACAGAGTACTATGAGGTAAGTTCTGCCTGGACAGCGTCACTACAGTGTACTCGTATCCGAAAGACTATACGTTTTCTCTTTTTTCCCACTCAATTTTCAGTGTTTTGTTGCTTAAATATGGAAACTGGTCTTTCAAAGAAGTGTCAAACTTGATACTACTTTAACATTTTATTTAACTACAGGTCCAACTAGTATGACTGGAGCCCAGATATGGAATCCTAATAGTGAGAAAAGACAAGTTCTTGCATTTGATCCTAGGTATGATATTCTTGTTCACAATTTTTGTAAACACTCTACACATTACATTGATCATCTGATTGTTTTGAAATTGATATATGTTGTTTACACCAGCAAGATGAAGAATCCTATTGAATTTCAATAATTTTGGTTAATTTCTTCTGGAGTTATGGCCCTTGTTTCACTTTGTTGAACCAAGTGAATGCTCTAACGACAAAAGTTATCATCCGATCTGTATGGATTTTATATGCATCATTTAAATTAGTAAGACGAGGAAGCCAATTGAATTTCAACAGTTTCCGTTAATTACATCTAGAGTTATGGCCCTTGTTTCACTTTGTTAAAACTTGTGATTGCTCTAACAACAAAAGTTATCATCCGATCTTTATGAAATATATATGCATGATTTCGGTTAGTGAAACAGAGAAGCAATTTCTGTTAATTTCTTCTAGAGAATGAAGTTGATAAAGGGTAGCCTTAATAGAGCATATAAAGGATGTGTTTATAAAATTAAATTTAATTACTTTCATTATTAAAATTTACTAAAAATGCAAGAGAAATTTACAAGTTTCGTATAAAATAATGATATAACAAGATACTTGATGTCGCAATCGATCTATATTTAATAACTTATATATCATTTTTGTCCTTTAAAACTACCAGCAGCAGGCTAAAATACATTATTTTTATCCAATCGGACCTAGGCCTTGCGAGTTTCAACTATTATCTAATTAATCCTTATGTGAAATGGACATTTATCTTTTAAGTTTTATGACATTGAATTGATGGATATTTTCAGGGGTGGTGGATGTGGTGCTGCTATGAGAGCTATGTGTATAGGATTACGTTATCCAAGGTACATTTCCATTAAAAAAACAATTAAACACTGCACCAGACTAAGAATAGATAAGCAGTCAGTTTGATAGCTGGATGCTTTTCAATAATAATAATACTGTTTTGCTCCGAACTGGGCTAATGAAGACGGGCATATGCCATACAGAGTGCTATGAGGGAAATTTTGCCCGGACAGCGGCACTATGGCCTGCTCTTATATCGAATTGAAACTGTCAAGGTATCTTTTACGTGCACGCCAATGTGTACACAGGACCTCGGTTTTTCGTCCCATCCGAGCGACTAGATAGGGGGGGGGGTAGATGGCCGAATGGTTAGCATGTGCGCGCTGTATCATAAGGCCTGTCATTGAGTCAACTAGCGTGGTTTCGAATCCCCGGTTGTACGTGACAAGGAGTAGGGTTGCCTGTCCAATAGGGCTGGGTAAAATATCGATATAAATCGATAGTATCGATTGGACGGCCCAGAAAAGCACTATCGATAGCGGTGGGTTACTGTCGATTATCGCTCTTCGTCTATTTTTCTTGCGTCTGAAATGTCAATGTTTTCTTTCAGTTAATCATAATACACCGCTCACTTTAATTACTATCAAGTATCAATGTAACACATAACAAAATTGTGACTGCTTATTGAACAGCCGTTTTCATAAATTCACTCTCATTGAAACGTTACTTTAGTTTTGAAGAAATTATTGTTGAATATCGCTAAATCGGAGATACCCGGATGTGTAAATAAAGTTAGAGTTATTTCCCTTTGCAAGCTTCAGAATTCGTCTGCCATATTGATATTTTCGCGCACACGTACGCAATGTTTTGAATCCGAACAAGTTCATTTTGGTTGGTCCCTTAACATAATTATTTACGATATTTCTTCATTCGGAACCACGTCTGCATTATTTTAATAATAAACAACATCAGTTTACGTATATATACGTGATATAACAAGTTTTATTAATGTTTTCCAAATAAATCTCCTTAGACAGGAGCAGATAAACGATCAATCGCAACTTCGTATGGTTTTGAATTTTGAACTTACACTGTATCCAGTCTCGATGACGATCGTGAAAATAAGTTTGTTTTCGATACTATCGATTATCGACCGACATTTCATTGCCGATTATCGATAGTAAAAATCACTATCGATACCCAGCCCTACTGTCCAACCTAGTGGGTTTTCTCCAGTTCCTCCGGTTTCCTCCCACTGCTAAAGACCCCTACGTGCAAGTGAATTAAACCATATGTTAGTCCCGAAATGACCTGGTTTGTGTCGAGTGGACGTTAAACTCTATTTCTCTCTCTCTCACGACTAGACAACTGTCCTTGTCAGGCCTTTCGTCCTGCATCACTGACAAGGGGGAACCACGCCAGAAAATCTGGATGAACTTTCTCAGCCAATGCAGGGATCGAACACCCGACCTCCAGGCTAGCGAGCCAGCTCTTACCCACTTAGCCACTGTGATCCCCAATGTGTAATCTGTTTATTTTGGGATTGAAACAGGATTGTATTGTTTATAATAATTAGCTCATAACTATTTGAAGAGCTGTGTCTGCTGGCGGGTGTATGTTCTGTTGCCTGTGTGCACAATAACAAACATTAAGAGCTAAATCTTCCAAATGCAGGTCTTTCTTTTGGCCTCAAATGTTATATAGATAATTAATTAGACATTTATTCACATGACAAGCCCATAATCAACTCTCTAGATAATCAGAAAGGGTGTTATTTTGAATGGATTGAAATACATTGAAATTTAATAATCTTATTTAAAAAGGGATAATTTCGACTTTGTTTATTATCATAACAATTTTAGTAAGGAAAATCAAGACTATGCAGTTCTTACCTTCAACATTCATAACTTAAGTAATTTGACTGAAATGTTCAATATATTCATTTTTTATGCGTCCACATGGAATTGTGGTCGTATATTACCGTCTGTACGTCCATATATGTACGTCCACAGTTTCTTGTGAACATTCTACAGGCTACATTTATAATCTGATTGTTTTGAAATTGATATATGTTATTTACATCAGTGAGACAAAGAAGTCTATATAATTTCAATATGACCTGGAGTTATGCCCTTGTTTCACTTTGTGAACCTTGTGAACGCTTTAATGACAAACGTTATCATCCAATATCTATGAAATTGATATGCATCATTTTTATTAGTGAAAAGAAGAATCCTATTGAATTTCAGCAATTCCCATTAATTATCTCTAGACTTATGGCCCTTGTTTCACTTTGTTGAACCTTGTGAATATTCGATTAACAAAAGTTATCATCTGATCTCTATGAAATTTCATTATTTAAATTAGTAAAACAAAAATGCCTTTCGAATTTCAACAATTTCTGTACATTACTTCCAGAGTTAAGGCCTTTGTTTCAGTTTGTAGAACCTTGTGAATGCTCAACCGATGAAAATTATAATCTGAACTGTGTGAAATTATTTTGTAAATTGCCCCAATTACCTAGGAAAAAAAATGAATATGCGACAACCTTTGTTGACCACTCTAGACGATTTAACTGCTGTGGGCGCATGTTTCGTTGCCTGACAACCTATCTTCATTATCTATTTTTAAACTATTATTTCTAGAACTGGTAGCTCTGTATTTTTATCTTGCATAATGCATCTTTAAGCTACACCATTTAAAAGTGTTAGGTGTTGGACTCTAATGACACCGTAGCTGAACTGATTGGCTCAACCTGACATCTGCTTTCATTTTGCACCATAATGTTTTGATGTTAATAAGTTACTGCATTACTGCATTCATACAAACAATTAAAATATGCAATGTTTCTCCTCTTTTGTTAAATAATTTCTTTGTTATTAGTTATTTGCCAAAAACTGTTTGTCCAACCACAAAGATGTATGATATCAACTTTGGCTTCCTTCAAAAGAAAGCATTCATTTTAATTGAGTTTAACTGTTTTTTTTATGTTTAATCAAAGAATGTTATTTATAGAGTAGAAGATGAAAATAATTTAATAGCTATAAGTATTGAGAGTGGTAGGATGTCACATCATCATCCAACTGGTTATCTAGGAGCTTTAGCAACAGCTTTATTTACAGCTTACAGTGTCCGAGGTTTGTATTATAACTTTATTTAATATTCCATACTCCTCTTTCTGTGTAGTTTGCCTGAAGGGAGGAATCATTGATATATTTCAAAGATATAACAAGTGAATTCTGTATGGAATAACTGTCTGAATCTCACAGAGGTTAGAAACGGGGATTAATCTCCTTCTTTTCTGCTCCATATGGGCAAATAAAAATGGGCATATGCCCTTCAGTGTGCTATTAGGAGAATTTTGACCAGACAGCAACCCAGTGGCCTATTGTTATTTCGATTTCCAACTGTCATGGGTTCTTTACCATTGGAAAGAGTTGTTGCTATTCATTGTCAGGCCCTTTGTGCTGCACCACTGTCAAGGAGAAACCCTATCAGAAAATCACAAGGATCTTTCTTGGCCAGCACTGGGATTGAACCTGAGACATCCAGATTAGCAAGCCAGCACCTTACTCACTGAGACACCACAGCTTCACCAGAAATTCCCCTTCGAATGAATAGTACAAAGAAACTTAGTAAATATTTAATTGGAAATCTATAAGTAGTGGGTAGCTGTCCCAGATTTCTCTCATGAAACTACTAATTTCGTTCTTGTGGAAGTTAATATCCGATTGAGTTTAGGTTTATACACGATGAAGCCTATTGATTTTCAACGATTTCTGATAATTACTGCCAGAGTCATGGCCCTTGGTCACTTTGAAATATCTTGTAGACGCTCTAGAGCCTGCAGTTAGTATCCGATTGACTTTAAATTTATACACAGTGTTTAACATCATGGGACAAAGAAGCCTATTGATTTCCGATGATTACTGCCAAAGTTATTGCTCTTGATCACTTTGAAATATTCTGTGGGTGCTCTAGAAGCTGAAGTTAATATCTGATTAGTGTGTTGTAAATGTTTTCATTACCAACAAAAGAAAAAATGTGTGAGGATGACTTTGCTGCTGTGGGTGTATGTTTTGTTGCCTTCCAACCAGTCTTTGTAATATTAGAAATCGTCGCGGGATGGACACAGCTAACATAAATTAGAACTTGTCCATACATTTAGTCAACCATCAGACTAAGTCTAAAACTGCTATTTCGCAAACTTTTGCTGTCGGGTTTTGTGATCGAAAAGTGATAAAAACTACTACCAATAGTTATCTTAATAAAGTTTTGAATTTGCCATATGTACATCACCTATCATAATGCGAAAAACTGGTTGTGGCTCTAGTTTGAGGACCAGATCGACTCATTGTAACAGGCTTCATCATTGTTAATTTCAGAAAAGGAATAAGTCCTGACGATCTGTCACGTATATCCTCAGCTCATTTGCAAGTAATATCCCCGAAGTTTCACATCATTTGGAAGGAACTACTGTCTAAAAAGATTTGCTCACAAGAGCAAGCTGATCAACCCTATGCAGGGATCCGCAAACGAGTGGCGTGTTGGTCTCTTATTTATTCTAACAATTTGTCAAAAGAGACTGATACCTGCATCAAATTAGACCAAAATATATATTTCTTTATTTGTACAACTTAAAAGAAATCTCTGTCACCATGTTTCAAAATGCCAGAGTAGAAATATGGTCTACCTACTAGCTTTCTCCCTATGTTAAATATAACACGTGGGGGAGAAAGAAAACATGTTTTTTTTTTCAAAGTGAATAAAAGAACCAAAATCGGTTGAAAATTTCAACCATACGTTTTAATCTCAAAGGACAAATAATTGAGCTTATTAAAACTTATTATTATAGAGACAAAAATATGTCATTTGGAAAGTATTTGAACCAAACTGGATTCATACTTCAAGAACTATCCCTATGGATAGCTCAACAATAAGATTTAGTTCTGAAGGGTTCCTTTTCTCTTTGTTTACATCAGTAAATATTTAATTACTAATAGTTAATTTATATTAGGTAAAGAATTAAAGGAATGGGGACATGGTTTAAAGGAGATGTTACCTAGAGCCTTAAAATATGTTCAAGAGGCTGGTCATAGCGTAAAAGAAAATGAACTTGCTTGGTATGTTGGTTCCTTATCTTATTTCTTAATCAGGTGAACTAATTCTGTACTGAATCATTTTTTCAGTAAACATAATCCATATACATGGTAATCTATTGAAAATATTTTAATTGGAACTTTATGATGTATAATGATTATATGCTTTGAAACTATGCCTTGTAACACAGTTTTTTTAAGCCTCCTCATGCCAGAATAGTCACAAAATCCAACCATTCTTCATGAAGGGTTTTTTTTTTGCTTGTATGTGCTTAATTTGTTGTGCCTTTAAGAAATGAAATGAAATGAATTGGGATTTAACATCCAACTGTTCTGCTACGAACTGGGCTAATGAAGACGGGCATATGCCATACAGTGTGCTATGAGGGAAATTTTTCCCAGACATCGGCACTACGGCCTACTCTTATATCAAATTCCAACTGTCAAGGGGTCTTTTACGTGCACGCCAATGTGTACATGGGTCCTTGGTTTTCCGTCCCATCCGAATGACTTAGACAGTTGTCCTTGTCCTGACCTCCATCCTGCATCTGTGACAAGGGGGAACCACGCCAGGAAATCTGGATGAACTTTCTCGGCCAGTGCAGGGATCGAACACCCGACCTTCAGACTAGCGAACCAGTGTCTTACCCACTCAGCCACTGTTATCCCCTGTGCCTTTTAGCAAAATTAGATAGCTATTTTTATGCTTGGTTGATTCGGCAGTCGAGTCAACCTTGAAACAAAGTTTTAATATTTAGGAAAATATTTTGACAATTCAGAAATTAAGCACAATTCTAGAACCAAATTATAGGAAATTTTAGAAACTTGTATCATTACTCATCCTCTTGTAAAAATCTACTTGTCTAGCACATCTCTGACTCATAATATTTTCTTATTTTGTAATAACATGTAGCCCTATGACAGATCTCACTACCCATGTCGGTTTCAATTCGGAATGAGTTAGATACAGTGCGTCTGCTTCAAAATAACACAGTTTGGCTTCAAATATTTGCAGGAATGAAAATGAATCATTTGGAGATCGATGGAGGAATTATCTACGGGAACGTAACATATTAGATGGTAAAAGTGAACCAGTATTTCCTGAGAATTATGATGTGAAAAAGCGAGATGAATTTTACAGATCTGTTAGTTACAGTGGTTGGGGTGGAGCTAGCGGCCATGATGCTCCTCTTATAGCGTAAGTAAATGAAATTAAAGCTTTTGGAATTTAGCTCATAATTTGATACTAACAAATCATCAACTACTAAGATCATATCTAATGAATCATTCAATAAAGTGTGGAGAATTACACAATAGACAGTTCAAGCTAGTATGTATCAGATATTTGGTTAGTTATATTAGCTTAATTATATTCTTTCATGAAGAATGAGACCCCGTTATTATGCAGTCATGATGCATTAGAGCTGTAAAAATTTCTTTAATAATCTCTCATATAATAAGGAAATATTTTGAGTGCCCACGTTCAGATTTGTCATTGAGTCCATGTATAGTCATTTTTTTTAACGTTTGAAACAGTGTAATTGAACATGGTGCCCAACGAAGTTAATATATTTAGGTACGGGTTAGTACCAAATAGTTTAAATCTATGACAGTTAAGATTTGGACTAAATGAATGGGAAATTGAAAGTTTGGGGGGCGACTTGTATGTGTCTCTCTTTTGTTGACCGAGTTGAGATAATTGTCCATTAAATTAACTGAACGAGTAGGCCTGTCATCGTTTGGTTATTTGTCTTTCTTGAGTGTGTGGCTTCTTTCAACCTTTCTGGACAGGTTTGACTCTATGGTATCTGTTGTGATTGAAAGAGTAAATGTTTTTTAGTTGAGAGAATATCTTTCATCAAAGTGGTGGTAGAATCCAAGGCAAAATGGGAACTGACCGATTTAATCACAAAATTAACTATAGTTGGCAGAGAGTGAGAGAATATAAGAGATAGGGATTGGCTATTAAGACCTTGTTATTCCGAGTGTTAGTGACTAGTTTCGTTCATATTGAACTCTTGATACTGAGTAGGGTTTCCATGATCACAAATTGGCAGGGTTACTGGGGTTTACGAATTTATTACCGGGGTTGGTAGCTGGCTTATTGGAGTTGTACGGAGATTTAGATATACATGTATTTGAATTTTCTTTGATCTGTTTTTCAGATATGACAGTATTTTATTTGCTAAAGATGACTGGACTGAATTAGCGAATCGGTATGGATATATTTTAATGCTTTCTTTTCCAACCCATTCTCTCAGTAATTTTTTGGCAACACAAATATGTATTGATATATATCTCTACATGAAAATAACGGTAGCTCCACGTTATTTAATATAAAAAATACTCATAAGTTTGGTTTATAGTAAGCTGTTGATAGGGGTTGCATGCAGGGACGGACTTACTTTACTTATGGGTATTTTAGTTCGATAGTTTTCCATATAAGATATTCACTTACTATTTACTTGAATTTTATTTTCGTTTTATAGATTCATTGTTTACTCCTTAATATCTATATCTATAAATTGCAAAGTGTATTTTTTAACAGAGCGTTCTTTCATGGTGGTGATAGTGATAGTACTGCTGTAATGGCTGCCTGCTGGTTTGGAGCTCTTTATGGTTACAAAGGTGTACCAGAATCAAATTACAAGGTAAACAGAATTGGTACAATTTAGTGCCACTAGATTTAGATGTGGTGTATATTCAGGTGAGCTTTCTGGAATCCAGTTGTTAATAATCCCATTACAGGGACAAATAAATACCAGATCAGTGTGCAACAAAACATAAGAAAAGTAAATATATGAAACATCAGCTACATTCATGACAGTATCTACATGATGTTTGATTTTAGCATATTACTATTGGGGCCGGATATCTGATCTTGCTTAACTACTATCATTTAATGCAATTTAGAATATTTGGAACTCACAATTGGTTATCCCTAAAATGTGAGAAAATGTTTCAAGGGAAACAACTGTAATTCTTTTCATAACAGGCCTCCAAATATTTCACAGTATGTGCCAGTTTCTTGTTCTGATGCTTGTATGAGTTTGGCCATTTTGGGATACACAAATTGAAAGTACCAGTTACTACAAAACCACATTAACCGCTTATATTTCCTCCCCAATATTAAGAATATCCACCCAAACCTGGCAAAATATGAAGATCAATTATTTACCTTCTACAATACCAGACCAAATAGTCAAAAATAAAAAGAAGATGAAAATGGGGAGTGGGCGAGGAATGAAGAGATACTTTAAGTAACAGGAACTTAGTTGGTAAGCCATTGTTGTGATTTCTGCAATGATTAACAAATCTAATGTTCTAGGTTTGGGTGAAAACATTTCCTTGATCTTACTCCTTTTCAGGGTCTTGAATATCAGTCCAGATTAGAAAAAGCTGGGGAAATTCTGTACAAATTATCTCACCCTGAGCCTGCAGCAAAACCAGATTCACAATCTGAGCCTGTAAAAGATTCACAGTTATAATAATATCATTTACAGTGATAATATTATCATCTACAGTTATAATATTATCATCTACAGTTATAATATTATCATCTACCTAGAAAATTATAATATTATCATCTACCAAAAAGTTACAATATTATTATCATCTACCTGGACAGTTATAATATTATTATCTACCAAGAAAGATATAATAATCTACCAAGAAAGTTATAATTTTATTATCAAACAACAAAGTTATTCTAATAGTATAAATATATTTATGTATGGAATATATCTAACCTAATTAGTGTAGTAATGAACCCTTATTAAAATAGTATCATCTACCAACTTAATTATTCAAATAATAGGAATATATTTATGTATAATATACATCTATTATAATAGATCTATCTGAGCCTGTAAAAGGTTCACAGTTATAATAATATCATTTACAGTGATAATATTATCATCTACAGTTATAATATTATCATCTACAGTTATAATATTATCATCTACCTAGAAAATTATAATATTATCATCTACCAAAAAGTTACAATATTATTATCATCTACCTGGACAGTTATAATATTATTATCTACCAAGAAAGTTATAATATTATTATCTACCAAGAAAGTTATAATAATCTACCAAGAAAGTTATAATTTTATTATCAAACAACAAAGTTATTCTAATAGTATAAATATATTTATGTATGGAATATATCTAACCTAATTTGTGTAGTAATGAACCCTTATTAAAATAGTATCATCTACCAACTTAATTATTCAAATAATAGGAATATATTTATGTATAATATACATCTATCTTAATTTTACTCAAAATATAGAAACCATTTACTTTTATGAAATCAAGTTGATGCAAATAAAAGGTACACCTGTGTTGTTTGTAATACACAAACACCATCGACACGATTGTCTGTACATTCAGATATAAATACAGATTCATTGTTATAATCTTTGTTTACTGTCTATTGTGTGTTTTAATAAAATATTTTAACCATTTCATTTCTTTATGGTTTATGGTAATTCCCCAAAAGCATTGATAAAAACTGGCCATATTTACAAATCCTATGCAGAGGCAGATCCTTTCTAATTCTAAACCACTCAATGAAACACGAAATAAAATGAAATGAAGTTTAATGTCCTATTGTTTTGCTCCCACTGGTCTAATGAGGACGGGCATACGCCATACAGTGTATTATGAAAGAAATTTTGCCTGAACAGCAGTGCTTTGGCCTACTCTTATATCAAATTCCAACTGCAAAGGGGTCGTTTACATGCTCGCCAATGTGTAAACGGGATCTCGTTTTTTTTGTCTGATCTGAACTACTAAACAGCGAGCCAGTCTTACTCACTTAGCCACAGTGGCAGCCTCAATAAAAAACAACCATGTGGTAGATATATTATTGCATGGATTGTGATTATTCAGATTTGTTCACAGGAATTTGGTTGGCTCTAAAGTAGTGCTTTGCAAACTTCGTTTACCAGGAATTGAACTCAGTGTAATATCACATGGATTTCGTCTTTGGTACAATGAGTATAATAGTCCTCTAAATTTCTTTGGGTGAACTACTGCAATAATAATCGATGTCCGAAAAGTACCGCACAAAGTAGAGTGGGTCCAGACAATTTGTTTTTAATCCATAGCCAATTCAGTACAAAGTAAAATTAGTATTTTATTAGATTCCGGGCTGTTTATTTTGCCAACTAGCTGAAATAATAACTTTCTTTTTATTTTACCCGAAAAGTCAGATTGCTCGAAAGTTATGGGGCTTGTATGCCTATGGGTAAAAATAACAAGGGGGTATGAACATAGCTCTTATATTTAAAACAATCGCCACATCTTTGACATAAAATATACTTCAAAGCAGCTGTCAATCAATATAATCCTGATCGGTCCGTCGTTTACAATTTATTTTGAACACTCGGACCCTTTTAAAATTTATATACAATGTATACTGTTTACGTTAGTGGGACGACAAAATGAAATGGAGTTTAACGTCCTACTTTGCTGCACCAACCGCGCTAATGAGGACAGATATACCCCATACAGTGTGATATGGGGGAGATTTTGTCAGGACAAAGGCGTATCCGATTAACCTTCATCGAATTCCAATTGTAATAATAATAATAATAATTTATTGAACTTGTATAGCGCCAAAATCCAGCTTGTAAAGCTGCTCTTTGGCACTTGTACAAAAAATATATATGATTCTGAGTACACAATGTAAAAGGATAAAATATAAAATCATAAAAATATAAAATTAAACTAATTGGTAAAACAATATAATAGGATTTAAAAAAAACCCCAGATAAAATATAGATAGAAAATCATAACAAATTAAACTATTTGGTAAAACAATATAATATGATTTACATACCCCCAGATAAAATATAGATAGAAAATCATAACAAATTAAAATTAAACTATGTGGTAAAACAAATATATAACAGTGTACAGGTAAAATATAAAACATTAAAATAATTGGTAAAAGAGATAATTACGTGAAGGCTTTTCGGAACAATTCTGTTTTTAGGTTCTTTTTTAAAAACAGCAAAACTTAAACTGGTCCTAGTTTTAAAGCGGAAATTGCAAATTTTCAAGTTATATTTTTAAAATGTATTAAAATAAAGCCTTAAAATAGATGATATCCATAAACAGTCCTACCTTGTTAAAGAATAATCCTATTAATCCTATAATTCGCTATTGCCAGCTGAGAAATTGGCAAAAATATCATTTTTAACTTCAAATTCCAACGTTGGAAAATGGCTGCCCCATGTTGTCAATAGCAAAACAGGGGAGGTAATTGTGTTGTTATTTCCTGTGTCATAGATTTTTAAGGGTTGGAAATAATGCCCATGATTGTATAATAGTGATTTGATAACCCATTGAGCAAAAGACAGAAATAATTATGTTTTGACTTTCTTAGAAAATTTGAAATTCTCGCTTTATAGGATATATCGTCCAAAGTTTCGGTGCTGCTACCGAAAAGGAGCGTTGGGAGAGGAGTGTTTTACTTTTTGGCATCTCGAGGAGATGAAGATTTGAAGAACGAAGTTGGCGTAAGGGTTTATATTGGTTTAGAAGATCTTTGAGATATACAAGCGATTCAGGACAGTTGATTGACAGATATGTAAGACACAAATTTTGAAATCGATGCGAAAAGAAACTGGGAGCCAGTAAAGTTGTTTAAGGACAGGGGTGATGGGTGAACGATAAGGTGTTAGTGAAACAATACGGGCAGCTTTATTCTGAATTAGTTTGAGAGGGTATAAGCTTTTTGCGCGAACTCCAATAAGCAATGAGTTACAATAATCGAGTCTGGATGAAATAAAGGAGTTGACAAGTAGTTTACAGGTTTCAAAATTGATATAAGGACGGATTCTACGAATGTTGTACAAGTGAAAATTGCACGATTTACAAATAGATGAGATATGGGATTTATGCCCAGTGCAGAGTCGAAATTTACACCAAGAGTTCGTACAGACGTTGACACAGGGATATTGGCATCTTCAATTTTCATAGAATTATGTGTTAACTTAAGGTTTGTATTACATTTAGGTTTAAAAAATTGTATCACTTCAGTTTTATCATCGTTCAATTTTAAAAAATTTAGTTTCATCCAGGATCTTACAAGCCTCCAACTTTGTTATGTTTTCCGCCTCGTTACTCTTATTCAGCGCGATATACATTTGTGTATCGTCGGCGTAAAGTTGGTAGACAATTTTGTGTTTTCTTATGATGTCTCCTAAGGAGAGGTGTATGCTGTGAACAAGAGTGGTCCCAGGACATAACCTTGTGGCACACTATATTTCAGTCTTTGTGGAGGAGATTTATTGTTATGGATATTTACTACTTGTTCCCGACAATCCAGATAACTGGCAAACCATGATAGTGCACTGTCTTCGATCCCGAAACGATGTTTTAATCGGAATAACAATATCGAAGTGTCTATGGTGTCGAAAGCGACACTAAAGTCAAGCATAACCAAGAAAACACAGTCTTTGTTGTCCAGCCGACTGATGATGTCATTATGGACTCGTACATTGGCAGTCTCAGTGCTGTGACACGTCTTGTAGGCAGACTGGAATGACTCATCTAAGTTATTCTGTGCAATATGGTCCTTGAATCTGGAAGCTACGACCTTCTCTATGATTTTAGATAAAAACGACAGATTAGAGACTGGGCGGTAGTTTTGAAATAAGACTGGGTCTAAATTAACCTTTTTTAGTAATGGTGTCACAAGGGCACTTTTCAGTGATGGACACACCTTTCCAGATTTCAATGAACTATTGATAATGGAGGTAATAATAGGAGAAATCGACGATGAGCATGATTTTAATAACCATGTAGAAAGTGGGCCATGGTCACAAGATTTATTTGCAGATTTTCCAAGAATTTTGGAAATTTCAGTGTCTGATGTTAGCTCAAAGTCAGTTAATACAGGTCCTGTGTATAATTCACTGTCATGGGGAGTTGCTGTGCCAGAATCCCCTAATTGAAATCTAATATTAGCTACCTTTTCACAAAAAAACGACGAAAATTGTTTTGCTAGAGATGAAAATTTGATTTGGAATAATACTGTCAGTTATTTTAAAGATTTGCTTGGGATTTCCCTTGTTCGTCTCGATTTAATTTTAACATAAGATATTTTAGCCAGTTTATTTGCTTCAGTCCTTTGGTGGTCATATATCTCCCTGTGGATTTCCAAGTGGTAAACTACTTCTTATTTGGTCGAATAGTTAGAGTTTGCTCAGGGGAGAATCGTAAAGAGATATTTGTGTTTGAATATCATGTGAATTTACAATCTGGGTTTGTAAATTTAATGACAGAATGTCTTGAATGAACCGATTTACGTCAATGTCTTTAGTTTTACGTAAAATAATGGTTTCTTTACCAGCCCTGGGCTTTGCCAATGACAACGATCCGAAAATACTATAATGATCGGAGATTGAATGATCAAGGACTTCATGGGTGCGGAGAAGATCATCATTAAATCTGGTGATAAGTATATCAAGTGTATGTCCCTTCTGGTGTGTCGGTACCCTAATGTGTTGTTGAAGATTACATGCATTCAGAAGATCGCAGAACTGGTTGGATTTTAAGTCACTGGATTTGTTTAAATGGAGGTTGAAATCCCCAACAATCAACAGTCGTCCTTTGGACGTCTGCAAGTCATGCAGAAAGTCTGAGATCTCAGTTAGGAAAGGGTCAGTGGTTATCTTGTTTTTGGTAGATACGGGAGAACGGTATATACTGATCAGATGAATCACATCGCTACCATATTTTACGCGTGTCTGAAGCACTTCAAAACTCGTGAAGTTGACACTATTGACAGCTTTAACCCCGATGGACTTCTTGTGCAAAATGGCAATTCCGCCGCTTCGTCGATTCTCACGGTTAAGAAGGACAGCGGAATAGTTTTCTGGAGCAAGTTCATTCAGATAAACCGAATCTGTGGATTTTATCCAGCTTTCAGTAATAATGAAAATGTCAAGGTTCTGATCAATTATGTATTCACATCATTCAAATGTCACGGGATCATTTACATGCATAGGACCTGGGTTTTCGTCAAATCTGAACGATTGGCACACTGTATGGTGTATGCCCGTCTTCGTTAGCCCAGTCGGAGCAAAACAGATGGACGTTAAACCCCATTTCATTTCATTTTGATAGAGAATTGGTTTCAGACGAGTTATTGCCCATACATTTAATAATCTCGCTTACGGACATGATGAACGTAATAGACTTAAAACTTTACACATACTAGTTAGTCACAGCTTTTAGAAAGAGATTTAGCATGTTGCGGACTAAATGAACAATTCCTGCTAATTTGTAAACTTTACGGATTGTGTAGGACGTGACCACAATATTAAATTTGGGCGTGTATAAATCTCACCAGATGGTTTTAAAGTCAAAAGAAGAACCACCAAGAGGGCGTTGAGTTTTCATTTTTGCCCGATTAAGTTGAGCACCCTTATCGAATTATTAGATCACTACA